AACACAACAGAAGTCTGTCTTAAACAAACAAACAAACAGACAAACAAACAACAAAATGGCTAAGATGGGAATTTTATAGTATGTGTTAGTTACCATTAAAAAATTGGGGGAAAATTAATACATGAGGAAGACTACTTGCCCTTCAGTATTTTGAGTTGCTTCCTGGGTACCCAGAGCCTTATCTGAAGAGCTGTGAGAAAAACAGAGCTGAGAAGTAGAGTTAGAGAGGATGAGAAACCCCATTCCAGACAATTTTTGTGGGTTTTTAAAAAGAGGGGCCACTTTACCATTGAGCCTTGTTATTTTTTGAGACGGGCCTTGCTGAGTTGCTGGGGCTATGTTGAACTTATGATTCTCCTGCCTCAATCTCTTGAGTCTCTGGGATTACAAGTGTGCGCCACTGTGCCCAACCCCAGACAGTCTTGATTTAGTCAACTTGTTACCTCTGAAGCCATGATCTCAGTGTTTGCAATCAAATGATAGCAGCTCAGTTGCTCATGTTGCAGAAAAAATATGTCTAGAACTATTTTGGTGATTTGGGGATCCTTGTTTTTGTGGCAAAACACTACGGAATCTCAATAATCTAATATGAAGTTTTCAACTAAGTTTCCTCCTAACAGCATTCCAAAACAAGCATTCCTATACACCTACTATAGTTCTAAAATCTATTTAGACAAGTCACACCTCTCACTGAGTGGGCTAGGAAAAGGAGCACTTTTTGGATTCCTTTTAAGATTTAAAGATTTGCATACCTACTGGTATATTAATCATATAGAGACAGGAGAGAAAAATGAAGCCTCACTCTGGGTACCCAGAGCCTTATCTGAAGAGCTGTGAGAAAAACAGAGCTGAGAGGTAGAGTTAGAGAGGATGAGAAACCCCATTCCAGACAGTTTTTGTGGGTTTTTTTTTTTTTTTTTTGGAGGGGGCACTTTACCATTGAGCCTTGTTATTTTTTGAGTCGGTAAGTGATTCTTATTTTGTTGTTGTCTTTCTTTCCTTTTTCTAATTTTAAAGATAATTTTTTTCACTCACCCCCCCAAACAACCACCCACCTATTCTAAGAGCTGCAGATTGAGCATTCTCATAACCACCTATGAGTCAAAGCAACCTTTCATTCTTGTTATAAATAAAAACATGAACCCTGTTCCTGCATGTTCTTCATAGGCTGTCTGTCTCCCCAGCACTTCCCTCTACCGCCAAGGAATGCACACAGAATCTGAGTCAGCAGTCAGCTGCCAGAGACAAAACATGCAGGGTATTGTCAACTGGCAGTCTCACAGATGCTCTGGAAACCTGGCATCACTGTTTCTTCCTTTTCCCCCTTCAGACTCCTCACTTCCCTTGCCTTTTTCTTTTCATACCTTGATTTTTCTGTCCCCAGAATTTCAAGTACCTTCCTGCCAGGTTTCCTGGTCCCTAATGTTCCTGTAATTGTGAATGTTGATTTTTCCCAAGACACTTGGATGGGTGGTCAAGGAGAAGTCAGGGGGAGCATGAGTTGGCTTTGACATTCAGGAATGAGGGGAAATGGGTTGGTTACAGGAATGGCTCTTCTGCCATTCTGCCTGGCTTTTCAGAGCAAGTCAGGATGCAAGATAAATCCTCTTGGAAATGAGACAGTCCCAGTGCAACAGAGCCACAGAATAATGGTGTGGTACTCTAGATTTGTCTTCCAACTCCAGTGATCTGGCTCACAAAGAAGGAAAAGTAAGGCAGCCCAAGGGACTCAGTCTGGTGTAGTCTTACCTTGAATGCCTGTTGCATTGTTCCAGGAACCAACCTGCTTCTGTTTATCTGCTGTCATTAGTCCCTGCAGGTCATGATCCTTTAGCCTGGGCACCTAATACTTGTCTGCTGCCCACAAGCAGGTACTCTGTAGCTGAAACCTGTTAATTTAAAGGTGCATTGCAGCACCTTTAAATTTCCAGCTACAAAAAATCGGGGCTGATTATTAAAGAAGGTGTGCATCTGCTGTGGAACTTGATTTGGATCTTCTCTGTAGTGGTTAGTAGCTCTTGGCAAGTGAATATTTATTTCAGAATGGGCTACAACCAGCCAATGGGATGGTAGCCCATACATCAGAACTATTCTTTGGACACAAATGCCCAAGACACTCATGAGGGAGAGATAGGAGCACAAAGCAGGTGTTATGACCAGGGAAAGGATTTTTACAGATATCTGGTGTGGGGTTTTAATGTGTTAAATTCAACAAGAGAGTAATGGTGTTCTCAGTGCTCCAAGTTCTGGCAGGAAGTAGAAGGTGGCTGCTGGTAGGGAACAAAGAAAAATTATTTTCTCCCTTGACACAAATATATCACACATGTACAGTGAGTTCAAATCTTGCAAACATTTCATTGTGACTGGCAAAATCAAGGTTGATTGTGAACACAGGTAGGATATGTGGATCCAGGAAAGCACAGTGCTGTCTGCTCACTGAAAAGCAAGTAAAATTGCAGATTCCCTACATAGAAGGCAAGATGCAGTGTAGCAAATGCTATCTGAGGTCTTTGTTTCCAGTTGTTGGTTATTACCTGTTGTAGTCTTTCTTCTGCTGTTGTGTAAGTAAGCACATCTGTTTTTTTTTTTTACCCATACTAGCTGTCTTTTAACTACCTGTCTTTTTAAGGTAAGTCTTGGCTTGTAAGAAAAAGAATGAACTCTTCTTAGGAACTTTAAAATGTTTTTCTTGCTACTACCTAAATCAAAACCTTTATTTAGGGAAACTGAAGGCTAGTTTCCATTAATCTTATTTTATTTATTCATCTATTTGTTTTTTGTTTATTGTGGTGCTGGGGAGGGAACCAACCTGCTCATGCATGCTGGGCAAACACTCAATCACCAAGCTATTCCCAGCCCCCCGAATTCCATTTCTTGCCGAACTCTTGCCCACATGGATATCAGAACAAGCAGTATGTATAGTTCTTAATATCCAGAGCCAGGAGAGGCTGTTGAGTAAGTAACATTTTTTAAGGTGAGAAGCCGAATTAGTATAGTTCAGATGATGAATTAATCATCTTCCACTCATCCTCCACAGTAGTAGAGAAGTATTGAGCTGTTGACATGAAAACGTGAAAGGGAAAGACAGTTCCTGTAGCTATGACTTTCTTTCATGAAGCTTAAGACACATTTCTAAGTGATTTGGTTTAATCATATGATATCATGGTGAGGTATGGAGAAAAACAGAGCAATATTTCTCCTTCATAATGGGAAGAGCTTCCCAACAGAACCTTGTGAAACTTGACACCCATTCTCTGAGAATTGATTGTATCAGCACCTGCAGCTTGGTGGCTCTCTTACATTATATCAGTAAATAGAAGGCCACTTTTTCCTTCTTTCCCCTCCTGAGGACAGCACATGAATAACTCCCTTCATCTTCTCCTATCCCCAAGAGTAAATCTTCCAAAGTTCCGAGCCAGTCATGTTTATCATACTAGTGGTAAATTGGAGATGTGCTTATGATGTACCTTCTGATTGAATAATGTTGGATTCAATTTGCTGATCTTATCTTCAGGATTTTTATGTCTATGTATGAGAGATTATTTATTCAATTTCTTTAATAGATATAGGCCTGTTTAGATTGTCTATTATTTTTGTGTGAGTTTTGGCAGATTGTGTTTTTCATGGAATTGATAAGCACTAGGAACAAGTTTTATGACCAGGAGAATTTCTTTAACACAAGGCTCAGAGAACTTCAGAATTGAGAGAGTTGTAGAAGTCATCAATCATTCCTTCTTGTCTTCCACAACAACAACAACAACAAAATCAGTTCTATGAGGCAAAGTGACTTCCAGGGTCATGCGGCCTGTACAGGCACATGTGGCTCAGGGTGGTGCCCTACAGTCACCCGGTCCTACATTCTTCATGTGGCTTAGCTTGACCCTTTGCCACCTACCTCCAGATAATGGTTATAATAGTGATAATAAATAAAATGTGGTACAAAGGTGATGAGACAGATGCCAGAGAGAACGTAGATGAAGAAACACATGAGGTGCCATCTTTGGCCTTTAAGCCTCTTTACAGCAGACACATAGAATGGCAAATGTGTTCATGTTTTGATAAGTGGAAGATACAGATGGCATCATTGTTATATATGACTATGGGCAAAATGGGGTGGCTCTACAATCTCCCCATCCTGCCATGTACCACACACAGAAGACTTCTCAAGTCTTTTAAATCTCTGCTGATACTACCACATCTGAACTTCCTGCTTCTTAGAACTTCTATGACACTATCCTTTTTCTGTGTTTCTCATAATCTTTTCTAGTGGGATGGACTTTCTACCAGCCTCTTCTTGCAGGTTTGTTCTTCCTAGAGCACATGTAAAGCCATGGCTTTTTTCAGTTCCACTACCATTGTACACTAAGGACTCCCAAACCTGGTCTGCATCTCTAAGGACTCCCTTGAACTTCACATTCATACTCCACTGCCTAGCATATGGCTATATTTTCCCCTAAGTAGCTCAGATGCGACAGATTGAAAAGGGAGTTTACTACCCCTGTTCACAAATGGGTGCTTTTATTTTTGATTCATTGCCTTGCTATCATGATTTCTCAGTGGCCTAAGATAGAAAACTGGGAATCATTTTTAATACTTTGATCTTTATGGGTCCCCATAGGACTGTCTGTGTTTTACTTTATTTCTCACATACTACACTTCTTCTTATGCGGCTAACTTTACTTACCCTGAAGACTCTGCTGTCATGTCTTAGAGGTTCATCTTTAATAAGGACCCTGCCTCCCTGAGATTTAGGTACTCTTCCTTATTCCTCTCTCTCTATTGGTACACTGTATCATTCAGTTTATGTGCCTGTCATTCACTAGACTATAAAATCCTTGAAAACAAAGGCTGTCTTACTCATCTTTCCACCTCAGTATCTTGGATGGTCCCTGGAGCATTTCAGTATGCATTTGTTGAATGAATGTGTTATCACTTGAGGTCTCTGCTTCAGAAAGATCAATTGTAGAAATACTGACCCTTTCTTTCTTTCTTTTCGTTAGATTAAGGTGACAGTGTCAGGTGGATCAACTGCCATCCCACTGCCCCGTCTGTTGGGCAGTGCTGAGAGTGGGGAAGCATGGAAGAGAAGAAGCATGAGACCACGAACCAAGCTCATGTCCTCTTTGACCGGTTTGTCCAAGCCACTACCTGCAAGGGAACCCTCAAGGCCTTTCAAGAACTCTGTGACCACCTGGAACTGAAGCCTAAAGACTACCATTCCTTCTATCACAAGCTCAAGTCCAAGCTTAACTACTGGAAAGCCAAAGCTCTCTGGGCAAAGTTGGACAAACGGGGCAGTCACAAAGACTATAAAAAGGGAAAAGCATGCACTAACACTAAGGTAAGGGCTTAACTATTCTCAGACTCTTAAGGTCACTGACATGAGAGTTTAACTAGGTACCAATTAGAAGAATTGAATAGAGATGGACTGGGTAAGATTGCCAGGCTAGGTTGATGCCAGGCAGATTCTAGTATCATTGTGTGTAAATATACTACATTTTGTGTAAATATACTACATTTTCTTTGTCCATTTGTTACCTAAAAAATTAAGCTTATAATCTGTTGAAACTTTGCAGATCCATTACCCATGCTCATTTTTTTTTTCTTTCCTTTTTTTTTTAAAAAAAAATTATTGGTTCTTTTTAGTTATATATAATAGCAGAATCCATTTTGATATATAAGCATGGAATATATTTTATTCTAGTTAGGATCTCATGGATGTATGTGATGATAGGATTCACTATTCACTGTAATGTTTTCATATATGTACATGGGGAAATAATGTCAAATTTATTTCTCTGTCTTTCCTTTTCTTATCCCCCACCCTCCATTCTCTATTGTCTAATCTACTGCACTTTTGTTCTTCGCCTCACCCCATCCCCTTATTGTGGGTTAGCTTTCACATATCAGAAAACATTTGACCTTTGGATTTTTAGGACTGGCTTTAGGACTGGCATGATTGTCTCCAGATTCATCTATTTGCTGGCAAATGTCATAAAGTCATTCTTCTTTATGGCTGAGTAATACTCCATTGTGTGTAATACTACATTTTTAATGTAAAATGTAATACTACATTTTCTTTGTCCATTCATCTGTTGAAAGGTTGACTGTTTCATGTGCCAGACCCTTTTCTGAACATATTTCATGTATTTTCATATTGGACATTCAAAGTCTCAACTTTTTAAGAACAACCCTGAAATCAAGCTTTGCATTTTGCTGAAGTTTCATTTTGAACCTCACCCTCTTAGGAGGATGCAGATCATTTAGCAAGGTCCTGGATAGGTTAAGAGTCTTGTCTATGCATAACTTCATAGTTCTTGACATGTCATCTTTATAAAACCATAACTCTGTACTCAACTTCAGTTTGCCCTTGTGTGGATAACTAGAGACCCATCCCAGTGGATTTACATTTGAATAGATATCATCAATAATATTCAAGAAATTCAAAAGCAAACTTTCGTGAGTACTGGACTTTATTAAGAATGAAAGGAACTCAAAGTCAAATGTGTTGCACAGCTTTTTTCTGAGCATGCAGTACAAACTAATTAAGATCTTTGTTTAGCCTCACGCCGAGTATTTCTCTAGAGTATTGATTTTCAAGAGCATTTCCCTGGACTTTCAGTTTAGAAATGATGGCTTTACATCTCTTTTAGCACATAAAATTTTGGCTTTTGAAAGTGGCCTCCAGAGAATTATCTGTGTGGTAAATCCATTCCAGGACTCTGAAGATTTCTTGAACCATAATAATCTCTACCTCCCTGGACAGAAATCTGCTGAACATAGAAGCCTTTCAAAAGGTCCTCTCCTGTCAGTGAAAGATTAGATGTGATTTTCATATTGTTTATTGAAATGATTACCCCTTTAAATATGTTACAGATATGTGGGCCTTACAGGCTGACCAAGATGAACATGTGCTTGGTTCACAAGTAGCACTTGTTCAGTCTTTCCCATTCATAGCAACCACAGCTCTTCTTTCAAACTCTGCTGCGACCCAGACAGGTTTGAAGTTTTTTTGGTAATGAGGAGAATAGCCTTCACTGAAGGTTAACAGGAATGATGGTTATGAGATTATAAAATATCTCTAGAAATATGTTTTAAGAGTCACAAACTTTGCCATAAAGCAGCTGTGTTTTGCAGTGTCTCATCATTGGAGCTGGCCCCTGTGGTCTCCGCACAGCCATTGATTTATCCTTATTGGGAGCTAAGGTGGTGGTTATTGAGAAGCGAGATGCCTTTTCCCGCAACAATGTCTTACATCTCTGGCCCTTCACCATACATGATCTTCGAGGTCTGGGTGCCAAGAAGTTCTATGGCAAGTTCTGTGCTGGAGCCATCGATCATATCAGTGAGTAACACCAGCTGCTGTAGGATTCCAACCCTTCTCCCGCCCACTTTTCAGTAGACAGAGACAGGTAGGTTATCTAAGGAATTCCTGCTCAATAGCATAATTTGTTCCAATCTCATTGATATCTATCATGTAGCAAGCATTCCCTATTTTGAGTCAAAATATTTGCCTCTTGTAGTTCTGTAACCTAGAACTTTGAACTATAATGTCTGCCCTGTGCAAGGAGGAGGAGTCTGGCTTAAGGATGTCTGAGTTAGGTCTTGGACTATTACTGAATACTTGCAGTATGTGAGATAGGCAGAGGGGCTAGACTTTTGGAAACTGGTGACCAATTTGGGCCTCAATCCTTTGGTGGCTCCTAGAGTAGTAGAAGAAGTACATAGGCTGTGGCTCTCTGCAGTGTAATCTTTCATATGCTAAACTAACATAAGAAGAACATGCTACAGGGATACAATCCTTACACAGAGCAGAGTTCTAGGTTGGTCATGAATGACAAGTCAGTAGTGGAATTCCTCAGGTTAGGTGATTCTCACAAAGTCTACAGCCAGAATAGCTCTTGGGATTCTCTTGTCAATCTTCAAACTCGTTTGGAGTCTCTGTATTTTTGAAACAGGTAAATACAAGTTAATGCAGTTGATTATTCATGCCTGTAAGTGGCCTATCTGAAAACCGATTCAGAACAGAGGATTTCAACTTCTATTATGAAGTTGAAATCCTCTATTTAAAACTTGATTATCACTAAAGAGTCCAGGGAAACTTTATCAAAGAAACTTTGGTCTGAGTACCAGACTTTTTGCTGTTTGAAGTGGTTGTGCCAATTTATCAAACACTGGCTAACAACTTCTACTTCCCTGACAGAAGTGCTTGGAACAATAGTTATCTGCAAAAATAAAATATGTGCTAGCATGAGACTTAATAAGTCTTTGGGAGTGTGACCCAGAGGGTGATAGTTGTGGTAAGCTAAGGAAAATAACCAGGATGACTTAGCAGTAGACTTGCATGTGCTTCTAACAGATTAGTCACAGATTGAAGGTAAGTTTGGCTTTGAGGGATGACTGAGGGTCATTGATGGAGTGGACTTGTCTCCCAGTGATTATGAGTGGCAGAATTATTTTGGGACTAAGAGAGTCTTAGATCAGCAACTAGATTTCTATCTTTGTATACCTAGTATTGCTGCCATAACTGGCACTGGGTAGGAACTATGGGCATCAAATAGTATATAAATCTCACCTTGATAATGAGTGAGATTTTCAATTATTTTGGGCCTCAGTTGTCACAACTGTAAATAAGTTGGGGTTCTGTTAAGAGGATAAGGTTGAATTGTGATTTCTTTTACCTGCTGAGAGAATGTGAAGGTCAATGAGATAATAAGAGTAGAAGGTAGATGCCATGGATATTTCAGAAAACAGTACAGTGGCTCCATATCAAGCTGTGAAAAGTGTACTCATGAGTGTACTCCTGTGTCCTGTGGTAGGTGCCATATCCCATTACAACTATAGATACTACTGAGAATAGCCTCTCTGACACATCAGGGGAAGCTAGAAAGGAGAGTCTCCTGTTGGCCACAGTCTCATGCTGTCTCCAAGTTTTCTATTGTTTAGAATACCTAACTAAAGATGTAGGTGGCCTTTAAAGTCTCTAGAGCATCTCTTCCACTGGTTGGTATTTACCCTTAAAAAGAAAGAAGTTAGAGAACATGGCATAGAAAATGTCTCCTGCTCCAAAAGACTTTGGAGAACCTGAATAGACTATGCATAGTGAAAGGGTGGGAGGGAACATGAGGAGCAACTACTGGAGTGTTCTTTCTTCTCTGTGTGCTCTTGCAAACATGTATTCTTTGTATTTACCCAGGTATACGTCAACTCCAACTAATACTTTTGAAAGTAGCCTTGATCCTAGGCATTGAAATACATGTCAATGTAGAATTCCAAGGACTTGTACAGCCTCCTGAGGATCAAGAAAACGAACGTAAGTTGAATTGGACAAATGAAGAAAGCTTAAAATGGCATTTAAAGGATGAGAACAGATGAGGTAAAAGGAGAACATGGGAATAATCTGCCAGTGTTTTTCAGAACTAGTTAAAGGGATTTCTTTGTATACTCTGTGCCTTTGAAGTTTACTGTTAAAGTTGAATAAGGAAGCCTTTTGTTAAAATTTTTGAATTTATTCTAATCAGTTATACATAACAGCAGAATGCTCTTCGATTCATTATACACAAATGGAGCACAGTTTTTCACTTCTCTGATTGTACACAAAGTAGAGTCACACCATTCATGCAATCAAACATGTACCTAGGATAATGATGTCCGTCTCCTTCCACCGTCTTTCCTATCTACATGACCCCCGACCCTTTGCCCAATCCAAAGTTCATGAGGAGGCCTTTGACTTAGTCATTGCAGGCACTTGTACTATAGAAAAATCATATGGTGGGGAAAGCCCCTTTGTAAGTTCTCTTCGGAGCTTCTTTCTATCTGAAGTTTATTCCCCATACTTTTCTATTTATTGTTTTTAGCTTGGAGTTTTGTGCATTCTGTATGCCTGGGTATCTAGAGATGATCTTAGAGATATGAATTTGGTCTGAGTAATGATCTTAATTTTGCATTTGGTCCACAGGGATAGGTTGGCGGGCACTGGTGCACCCCAAAACTCATCCTGTATCAGAGTATGAATTTGAAGTGATCATTGGTGGGGATGGCCGTAGGAACACCTTGGAAGGTATTGGCTTGTGCTCTACTTACTCTCTTCAGAGAAGAATAGAGGCTGACCTTGTCCCTAAGAGTCCATGTTCCTGAGAATTTGCACATGTGCTATCTTTTATTGTCGGGGGCAGGGGTACTGAGGATTGAACCCAGTGCACTTTTTCACTGAGCTACATCCTCAGTCCGTTTTTTAATTTTTATTTTGAAACAAAGTCTTGCTAAACTGTGGAGGCTGGCCTCCAACTTTCAATCTTTCTGCCTCAGCCTCCCAAGTCTCAGAGATAACTGATACTTTGCCTTGCTGGGTTCCCTATTTGAATTGCATGGCATCTCAGCTTTCTTCCAGACAGTGCTCACTCTGAGTATATTTTACAGGGTGCTCTTGTTAAGTACCTTGTTAAAGTACTAAGAGATGAGATATACTTTTTTAAAAATATTTTTTCAGTTGTAGATGGATACAATATTTTTATTTGTTTTTATGTGGTGCTGAGGATCAAACCCAGTGCCTCACAGCGCAAGGCAAGCCCTCCACCACTGAGCTACAGCCCCAGCCCAAGATATACTTTTTGGGAATTGACAATGTAGAATGTAATTTAAGTCAGCACACCTGCTCCCCTTTTTAAATGGAATTCCTAGTACTGAATAGTATTCTGTTCAGTCAGATTTCAGATTGTTTATTAATGATGTGGGAGACCTGCCCTAAAAATTTTTCATTGAGTTTCATTCTCCACATTTTCCCTAATGACTTCATCAACACCCTCCTCATTTGAAGTGATCATCTTTCTTCTCTAGCCAATTGCCACCTATGAAAACTTTTTTCCCTCCAGGATTTCGCCGGAAAGAATTTCGTGGCAAACTGGCTATTGCCATTACAGCAAATTTTATTAACCGAAATACAACAGCAGAAGCCAAAGTGGAAGAGATCAGTGGTGTGGCTTTCATATTTAACCAAAAATTTTTCCAGGAGCTACGAGAAGCCACAGGTTGGTATAGATTCCTCCAAAGTAATAAGGTTAAACATTGAAATAGTTACTTATTACTTTTTTTCTTGGGGGTTTGATAGGGTGGATGGTGCTTGTTATTACTGTTATATGTCATTTGTCCTGCTTTTTCTTCACTCCTGTGCTTTGTTCTTAGCTTAATGGTTCCATATCATTCTGTCTCCTGCTCTAGCATTATCAGTCTTTAGCACAGTGGCTAGGTTGCTCTAGATTTTGTTTTTATTTATTGTTTTGTTTTAAAGTATTCATTCTGCTTTCTGCCAACTCATCCCCAATCCCTTACCTCTACATTGTGATGCTAAGTTATGGCCCTAGATATAGCAAACTGCCAGTTGGTAGCTCTCTGGTTTTATTGAGAACCTAACAGATATTAAGTATGCAGTCTTCTTCCTGAGTTCATTTGAACTTGAAAGCAAACCATGTGACAGATAGGAATGACATTGTATATGATAGCTTTTGAATAGATGTATTTTGCTGCAACAAAAAAAAATATGTATTTTATTCTCTATTTTCTTTTTTTTTTTAGAAAGAACTTTTTTTAATATTTATTTTTCAGTTTTCGGTGGATACAACAACTTATTTTATTTTTATGTGGTGCTACGGATGTGGCTCAAGCAGTAATGCGCTGGCCTGGCACGTGTAGGGCCCTGGGTTCAATCCTCAGCACCACATAAAAATAAAATAAGATGTTATTCTCTATTTTCTAGACTTGATTTCATTGCCTTTGTTTTTTAGATGAATAGAATTAAAAAGACAATAGCTCATTCTCTACTTCCAGGCATCTACCCTGTTTTTGTTTTGGTACCAGGGATTGAACCCAAGGGCACTTAACCACTGAGCCATATCACCACCACCTCCCCTTTTTAAAAAAAAAAAAAATTTACCTTTATTTATTTTTATTTATTTTTATGTGGTGCTGAGGATCGAACCCAGTGCCTCACACATGCTAGGCGAGCACTCAACTGCTGAACCACAACCCCAGCTGCCCCCAAAGACTTTCTTATTTTTTATTTTGTGACAAGGTCTCACTTGGTTGCTCACAGCCTAAGTTACTTTGAACCTGTAATCTTCCTGCCTCAACCTCCTGAGCTGCTAGGATTACAAGTATGCAACCATGCCCAGTTTATGAGATTTCTCTAGTTCTCTAGCTTCCTTGATGACTCAAAGAGGTTTAATCTGTTAACTAAGCCATACCCTCTTGTAAGGATTACCCTCTTTTTTGTTTTTCCAATTCTTATGTTTGTGTCAACTTTTGGTCATTGTTTTCAGAATAACTTAAGGTGAATTAAGAATAGTACAGAGGGAAACAAAGCTCCCCTTATTTTCATGAACTGAATAGGCAGGAAGAGAGAATCTGGACCTAAACATGTTCCTGCTTGAATTTTATGATCCTGTCTTAGATAGACCCAAGTAGTCTCTCTGGCTGCCCTACTCAGCAAACTCCTATGTATGTTTGTTTTCTGCTTGCAGGTATTGATTTGGAGAACATCGTCTACTACAAAGATGACACGCACTATTTCGTTATGACAGCCAAAAAGCAGAGTTTACTGGACAAAGGGGTGATACTGCATGTGAGCAATGGATCTCTTTCAAACCACTTTTGTTGAATTTGTTAATATGATCACCAAGAGAAAGGGCTTTATTGTCTGATAGGATTTTTCTACAAGGGAATAAAGATGAGCATTGAACATATCTCCTCAAATCACTGATGGTTTTTAGTTTAACTTTGAAAAAAATATTTTCATTATGGAAAATTGTTAATTTAACAGAAATAGGGAGAATAGTATAATGAACTCTTATGCCCATTCTTTAGCTTGAGCAGTTATTAACATGGCCAATGTTGTTTTAGTAAAACCCTACTCCACTCACCTCTCCTGTTTCAAAGCAAATGTCAAGAATCATTTCTTGCATAAATAGTCAGTTTAATTTTAGGTGACTTTGTTTGAGATTATAATGAATTTCATATATGACCAATTATTGGTTGGTCGGTAGATCTTTTTTTGGGAGGGAGGTGATAGAGGGAAGAGAGTTCAACCAAGAAGCAATGCTTGGTGCTTATGACAGCCTGATTATGGCTCTGGTTTTACTGTGGCAACACTGAATTGGTATATTTAGGCTTTGTTCAGACTGAACAACAAGGGCCTAATGTCCATCTTTAGCCAGCCTTTTTTTTTTTTTTTTTTTTGTGCAAAACTAATTGTGTGGAGATAATCTGAAATCAGAGAGTTGCAAGGTGGATGGTTTCTTAAGGAAAGTGTCTTAAATCTTAGTTGGTCTCATTGGTCTGAATATGAGAATTACTTCCCCTGTGTGATGAAACAGAAGCAAATAAACACCAGAGGTGTTGATTCAGGCTTGTACAATTCCCACCAGACTCAAAGCTGAATCTCAGGAAGCCCTTTGTCTTTGTAGAATGATAATGAATCAAGTCCTTTTAGTCTGAGTCACACTATTGCCATATTGAGACCAAATGGAGAATGAGTTGATGAGCACATGCTTGCAGCACAAAGTCTCCTTTCCACCCATGAACCTTGTGTCTGTTTCGCAGCATAGCAGTCCTGTGTATATGCAGGGAGAAACAGGACAAAGCAGTTTGTATAGCCCATTCTGCCAAAGCAGAAGCAAGACATACTTGGCTGGATGCTTTATAAAGTGTTCATTATCTGGGGCTATTTTATTGTTATCAATAAGAACTAGCCAGTAAAGCAGTTGGGATGCCTGGGACTAAGTTAAGACTTAAATTTACCATCTGGGCAGAGCTGTGGTTGTCAGTCAAAAATAGATAAGAGCAATCTAGACTGTTAATTAAGATCTGTTTTACTTTTTGTTTTTATTTTTTATAGGGCAGGAGCTGTGCCTTCTGTGAGTGCTGTTTATAAACTAAACCCATTGTAGCCATTTAATGTTGAACGAGCAGTATTTCTAGAACCAACCTGAGTGTTTGTGTTTTGACTTCTGACATCTTATAGTAGCTGAAAGTACCATCACTAATACTTGGAAACTGAGTCTCCACTTCAGGAGAACAGAGACTTGGCTCAGTGTGCAGGAACCTCCAAAGAAGAAAAGGAACTTTTTAATCTCTTACTTAAAGCTCTTTTTCTCTCATTTTTGTTTTTTCCTGTTGGTGATTTTCTATAGAGCCTTACAGAATCTTATATATGATTTCGAAAACCTGTGTTCCATTTTCAGTTCATTCCTTCCCGTCCTCCTCAGCTACTAACGCTCCTAGCACCACATCTCTTTGGCACTGAAGTTTTTAGGTTCTTCCTTTAAGCATGATGAGCTATGCAAGTCTGAGTTCCCAGCTGAAAAAAAGCTGTTTGCTATTCAAAAGATAATGATTATAGAAGATAACATAAACCATTAAATACTTCTTCAGCTTACAGAAATTATTTAATTTGTTATTCAGAACAACTCTGTGAGGTAGGTAAGCCAGGATCAGAGGAGTAGCGACTTGCTCCAAGCAAATAGAAAAGCCAAGACTGTTTTTAGGCAGCAAAGCCTATTTACTCTTAGAAACACCCCTCACCCCAAAACTTTTTACTTTGTGTACAAGCTTGGTGGAATATTAAATCACTTTAAGGGGAAGGAAAAGCTGTGGAACTAGGTTATGTCTAACATTTTATGTTCAAGTCAAGCCATCCATCCCTGCCTGGATTTTTCCATCTTGTACCTCTTCTTTCTCTGGACAGGACTATGCTGACACAGAACTCTTGCTTTCCCGGGAGAACGTGGACCAGGAGGCATTGCTAAACTATGCCCGGGAGGCGGCTGACTTCTCCACGCAACAGCAACTACCCTCTCTAGATTTTGCCATCAATCATTATGGGCAGCCTGATGTGGCCATGTTTGACTTCACTTGTATGTATGCCTCTGAGAATGCAGCCTTGGTACGGGAACAGAATGGACACCAGTTATTAGTGGCTCTGGTTGGGGACAGCCTCCTAGAGGTGAGTACTGAGGGAAACAGCACTTTATGGTAGAGGCAGTACTGAGGAACAGTAATAATGAGGAGCAAATCTGGGTGTATTGGCTGTAGAGTGAGCATCAGCAGCATAGGCAAGACCTCTGCAGGAGTTATACCAACCAGGAAAAAAATAATGACATTAAGAGTGGTTAGAAATTCTGCAACTTTTATAACTTGCCTCTGTACTAGTTTGTGAAATGGACATGTCCAGAGTCTGAATAGTTGTCAAATACAACTGTTGGCAGCACACTTCCTTTTGTTCTTCAGTTTAGCTTAACTCTTTTAAAAATGATTTATTAGCTGGGTATGGTAGTGTTAGCCTGTAATCTCAGCTACTTGGGAGGCTAAGGCAGGAGGATTACAAATTTGAGGCCAGCATTGGCAATTAAATGACAAAATAAAATAAAAAGGACTAGGGTTGTAGTTCAGTGGTAAAGCACTTGCCTAGCATGAGCTAGGCCTCAAGTTCAATCCCCAGTACTGAAGAGAAGAAAGATAACTTATTTTAACTCTGACTTGTGTCTCTTTCTTAGCCTTTCTGGCCCATGGGAACAGGAATAGCCCGGGGCTTTCTAGCTGCTATGGACTCTGCCTGGATGGTACGAAGTTGGTCTCTAGGAACCAGCCCCTTGGAAGTCCTGGCAGAGAGGTAATAAGTCTCTTCCATGAAAAAACTGGGAGAAAGGAGTGGCTTACTCCTCAGGCTGAGTAAAAGTTATTCCTTCTTCTTTCTCTCTTCCTTTATTCATTAAAGATGTTTTTATATGTAAGAGAGGAAAGGTGAGGCTGGGGTTGTGGTTCAGCAGTAGTGCGCTCACCTAGCGTGTGCGAGGCCCTGGGTTTGATCCTCAGCACCACATAAAAATAAATAAATAAAAACAAAGGTATTGTGTCTAACTACCAACTAAAAAAAAAAAAAATGTTTTTTTTTTAAAAAGAGGAAAGGCACATATTTCATAAAATTTTAGAAACCTAAAGATGATCTAATGGGACTGTTCTCTTGTCCCTTTCTAAATGACTTTATTATTGGAAAATAATATCTGAATCTCTATATACCATCTGGTTCTTTTATGACCATTACGTGAACAAATATTTAAAAAGTGCAATTTAGATCATCCTGACCTTAAGCTAGAAAGGCTTAATCTGATGAAGTCATTGTCTTAGTCAGAACATGCTAACATAAGAAACGGAAAGTGATTGAAAGGATAACGCCAAATTGTTTTTAAACATTTCTCAAACCTTAAGGCATTCTGGCTTAATGTGGTGACAGGTTCTCTTTTTACCTAATTTTTAAAATTAAAGTATATATTGGCACACTTAAAAACACAATAGTAAATTAGTTGCCTTTTAAATTAGACCAGACAATTATCACTCCCCATAGCATTGTCCTGTTCTTCTCTTTGGCTCTTAACTAATTCATTGTCCTTTAAATCACTGAGTGGTGGTGGTTCTGAGAAGCTAGGGTTGATGTAGAGTCAAAGAAAACTTTCCAAGAATGAAGATATATTGTATACATCAGATAATTTGGTGGACTGTCAAAACAAATATTACAAAAAGAGGAAAATGTTTATTGTGCTTGTCACTTCTATGTTGTGTGTTATTGCAGGGAAAGCATTTATAGGTTGCTGCCTCAAACCACCCCTGAGAATGTGAGCAAGAACTTCAGCCAGTATAGCATCGACCCTGTCACTAGGTATCCTAATATTAATGTCAACTTCCTCCGGCCAAGCCAGGTAAGAGCATTCTAGTCAGATATGTGCATCTGGGCCTATTCTCAGGACTGATCAGAACTCTAATAGATCAAAATGTATATAATTATGTTTGGTTTTAATACCATATACACTTTCAGTAATCCCATATACCTATACATAAGCGTAATTTCAGTAATCCAAGTCGGTATCTCTCTGAATTGGTGGAAGTAGGTAGTATTTTCCATCAACTTGTTGAGCAACTAAGGCATGGAGTTGTTGAATACTTACAGAAGATCAAATGTGACCAAAATAGTGTACCTAGGACTTCATCTCATGCCTCTTAATTTAAATCACATACAGTCGAGGAAAGAGCGTTGATTGGTTCAGTATTCTGAAGATGTGACTTCCACTTGCCTGTTGGTCACTAATCACCTGTGACTCAGATGGGTCATTTTACTATGTCTGAGCCTCAGTTTTTCAGCTGAGAAGTGGAATTCCTACCTACTCACAGGATCATTGTAAGTGAAAATGAGATTGTTCTCTGGAAGGAACATTGAAAAATAAAAACATAAAAGTAGAAGATATTGTTATTATTGTAAACCAATTATTTTTTTATTCTGTTGCGTTCTCAAAAACTCTGAACCCTCATTACTGTATTGAGAATGACATTTTACAAAGCATAACAATCCCTAAGAATAGAATTTTAGAAAGCAACCTATTTGATATATTTTCTGTGTTCCAGAGTAATTTTTTGTCTTCTATATGAAGTTTGTGCCTTTGGGCCTTCCATATATATGTGGTAAAATATTTATAAATTCTGTTAATGAGCAGCCTTAATTGTCCAACAGAGACTCACCAGAGGGACCTCTGTGATTGAGTGGTTAACTTTCAGCACAATTTCTTACAGTTGCTATGTATTTGTTTCTATGTAACCTAACCCATTCCATAAAAGATTTAAAGGTTATCACCTTAACTTTTGTCTGAACTTTACCATGGGGCTGAGGGTATAGCTCCCAGTGGTAGAGTGCATGCTAGCATTCAAAAGGCTTGGGGTTTGACCTACAGCATGCCACCACCAAAACAAAAAATACATAAATAAACATACACACAAATAAATAAACTTAATCCACTTTCCCAGTCTTTCATCGTAGTCATTCTGTTTTTAAGTGGGAATTTGTTACATGGTGTTTGATTTTCCTTCTTTTCAATTTTCTGCCAGGTGCGCCATTTATATGATACTGGAGAAACGAAAGATATTCATTTGGAAATGGAGAACCTAGTGAATTCCCGAACTACCCCAAAGTTGACTCGCAATGGTGAGCTCTGGAAATGTTTTTTTGAACGACAGGTAACCCTTTTTAGAGCAGTCTACTCAAAAGCCATCACATGAACATAATACCATATATGGCAGTGGTTTTCAGCCAGGAGTGGTTTTGCCCTCCAAGAAACATTTGATTGTTCCTGGTTGTCATGACTTGGGGAGGTTGCTACTGTTTCTAGGTGGATATAATCCAGCAATGTTGCTAAACCTGCTACAATGTACAAGAAAGGTTCCCACAACAAAAAATTACCTTAGGCTAAGGTGTTATGAGTAGAGATAAATTAGATACAGATGCTGGAGAGGAAAAAGAGAGTGTGCATACTACACCCACTTTTAAGTTTTGTGGGGAAACTGATAGAACATGTGGTAGCATTTTAGACGGGGCCTGTGGTGTTGCCATTATACATGTTAAAGGCAAAGGCCATTCCATATTTTGTGTATATTGAGAGGTCCCTGAAGTTTTTATTTGACATTGAGTACACCTGGTCAGCTATAATTAAGATAGACTGGAGAAGGGAAATACATGACAGGCTAGGAGATTAGTTGGAAATACATTGTAATAATCAAACTACAGGGGATGAACTGTAAATCTGATACTGAGCTGGAAATAGAGAAGGGAGAAAGTGGTAGATCACATTTAGAAAAACTTGGACATTGGGGCCAGGTGCAGCTGGGTCCCAGACCAAGCCTTGCCATTTGCAAAATGTGTGGCCTTGAACACATTAGTTAACACATCCGAACTTCAGTTTCCTCATCTTTGAAAAGAGAATAATAATAGCTTCCTCCTATGTTTATCATGAAGATTATGTGACATATATACAGCACTTATTACAATGCATAGCATGGAGTGGGTAATCAAAAACATTGCCCTTATTAATTATGTATGAGAGACTATTTTTTAATTTCTTGTTTCTTTTTAGTTTTATACATAACAGTAGAATGTATTTTGACATATCTTACATACATGGAGTATATCTTCCCATTTTTGTGGTTGTACATGATTTGGGATTACACCGGTCATATATTCACATAAGAACATAGAAAATTTATATCTGATTCATTCTACTGTCTTTCCCATTCCCATCCTCCTTCTCTTTCCCCACTTCCCACCTCCCTTTTCTGCCTATTGTGAGTCAGCATCCACATATCAGAGAGTACATTTGGCCTTTGTTTTTCAGATTGGCTTATTTTACTTAACACAGTAGTCTCCAGTACCATCCATTTACCAGCAAATGCCATAATTTTATTTTTCTTTATGGCTGAGTAATATTCCATTGTGTATACGTACCACATTTCCTTTATCCACTCATCAGTTGAAGGGCATCTACATTGGTTCCATAGCTTAGCTATTGTGAATTGAGTTTCTATAAACATTGATGTGGCTGTGTCACTGTAGTATGTTGATTTTAAGTCCTTTAGGTATAAACCTTAGAGTGGGATGATTGGGTTAAATGATGGTTCCATTCCAAGTTTTCTGAGGAATCTCCTACTGCTTTCCAGAGTGGTTGCACCAATTTGTAGTCCCTACGTGAGAGACTATTAAGAAGCCAGAATCAGTGGACTTTGCCAGTTGATTGCCCTTAGGGGCAAAAGATGGGTACTGCATCAGTCTCAACAAGGAAGTGGGAGGGTGAAAACGTTTGAGTTCCGTTTTGGACATTTTGAATTTGATGTGCTTTGGAGATATCAAGATGAATATATGAATCAACAGGCAGATTAAAACATTTTCCTTTCTCCATTGGACTGTTGTATTCATCAGCTTTCTATTGCTGTGAAAAAACACCTGAGGTAAACCAACTTAAAGGAGGAAAGATATATTTTGCCTCATGGTTTCCGATTATAATCACTTGGCTTCATTGTTTTCGGGACTGTGGTGAAGCAGAACATCATGGCAGGGAGCCTGTGGTAGAACAAAGCCTTATGGTGGCCAAAAAGCTGGCCAAAAAGTTGCCCAGCACATATTGGATGTATGGATATCTAGACTTGGGAAGCATCTGAATAAAGTCAATATCTGAGCTAAAAGATAGCACTAGGGGTAGTTCTATGTGTAATCTCAGAATATATTTCCTGTGAAAGACTTAACCAGGACTTTTATGATAGCAGTTTTTATCTTATGTTCACAAATCTCTAAATTATTTAGTGCCAAGCTAAATATTTCCAGCTGCCTTAGGGAAGGGAACAGACTTTCTTGGACACAAATAGGAATTCACAGATTCTCTCAAATGATCCATATCATAGCTCTTCCAAGGCATGATCGTTCTGGTTTTAGAAACATGTCAATGAACTGGAAAACATCCAGGTGTATGTGTTTGCCTACTCAGTTTCTCAAGATGTGATCATTTATAATACAGGGTACCAAACTGGTCTGGAGTATTGTTATAGTCTGGGGTCCTCAGCCTTTGTCAATGTAACCATACAGAGTGTCATTACTTCACAAATTGTTCACTATTTTAGAAATTATAAGAGCAAGTCTTTAATTATTTTTACTCTAAGGTGCTGCTAGATAGAATAGAATCTTTCCAGTATTGCTTTGGAGGAAAAGGTTTCCTCAGGCCCAGCAACCCTCTAGGGAAATCCTAAGACTGCTCTGCAGGTGAGGGTAACAGCTCAGTAGTGGCACTCTTCCATCTAAGCCAGTTTTCAGGAGTTTCCCAGAGACACTGGACTTCAGCACAAGTACCCAGTTGTGAAATTTTAGTCTCTTCTGGATGTTGACTTTAGAATATGAGTATATTGGTACCTAAAATTCCAGGATCATGATACCAGTTATATAACATTGTCCTCACTATTTTCTTTTGAAGTCTAGAAATGACTGTTTTTGTCCCTACCTTTAGTAATTTTTCGAACTGGATATGTGTACTGCAAAGCAGATCTTATATTAGTGTTGCTAGGTAACCACACTTCCAATAATAGTTTGTTTTATTGTTTTAGAATCTGTAGCTCGTTCAAGCAAACTGCTAAGTTGGTGCCAAAGGCAGACAGATGGTTACGCAGGAGTAAACGTGACAGATCTCACCATGTCTTGGAAAAGTGGCCTGGCTCTATGTGCAATTATCCACAGATACCGTCCTGATCTGATGTAAGTCATGACTGTACTTTTAATTTTATATCCACCAGAGATCTCAAAGCACCCTGCTACCAAGTAGTCAAATTTTGTACTCTTTCCAAAATGAGGTACATACGATGCATTCTCCAGAAGACTGTGATTTGATTTAGCTATATTTAAAACTTCATATGTCAAGCATTGTGTTGCTAAGTCCAGGAACAATTAGCCGAGTTGTGTGTTTTGTTTGTTAGTTTTAGTATTGGGGATTAAACAAAGGGGCACTTTACCGCTGAGCTACATCCTCACTACATCCCTAGTTCTTTTTTTTCTTTTTTTACTAAGTTGCTGAGGCTGGCCTCAAACTTGCAATCCTGCCTCAGCCTCTCAAGTTGCTGGAATTAAAGATATAAACTACTGCACCTGGAAATTAGCTGGGTTTTTTAAAATCACAGCACTCATAAAGTAAAAAATTGGCTTAACACCCACCTGGACCTGTTAACTTTACACAAGGGAAAACTCTGTTTATTGGCCCCAGGTTGAACTCTTCATTTTGGCCAGCCATCTCAGATGTTGGTCACACGGGAAACCTGGCTAGAACACTGAACACTTGGCTAGCTCAAAACAAATATTTCACTGCCAGTGAAACCGAAAACAATGAATACTTACCAGTTTATGATGGTTCATTGATATTTTCTTGTCAATGACTACACTTTTTGCAAATATAATTCTGTCAGGGGCTGGGGTTGTGGTTCAGTGGTAGAGCACTTGCCTAGCATGTTCGAGGCCTGAGTTCGATCCTTAGCACCAAATAAAATTTTAAAAAATTCTGTCAAGCTCATGAAGTTCATGTCATCTTACCCAGTATACTAGTAATATCTCTTTTGTCGATTCTTCATCCACCTATCTACAGAATCAGTACACTAGGCTTACCCCAGGTCAGCTGTGGTGACTGGATTTCCCTCACAGGCATTCATAACCATAGAAGCCAAACAGAAAGATTCAGAAATAGAAGCAGAGTGCATTGAATTATTCTGGCTTCCTGTACCTTTTATCATTAGGTCCATTTAATGGCCTACTTCTTGTTTATTTTAAAATTGCTTAAGAAATCCTAAAGTATGTAGTCCATATATATGAGATAGTTATAAACTAAAGAGGCAGATCTAATAAAAACAGCTTTGCACAGTGTAGAATTTAAATGGAGAGGACTGAGGATATGGCTCAGAAGAGCACTTGCCTAGCATGCACAAGGCCTTGGGTTCCATACCAGGCTGTAAAAAGAAAAGAGTAGAGGATTTCTAATATGCTTCAATAAGTGTAAGTGACCCCCCCAATGCTCCTGCATTCAACTCATCCAGAAGTTGGTAGAAGGTAAATGAAAATAGTACTTATTCACTCCCACAAAAGAAAGGAGTAGGGAGGGAAAAAAGCTTGAAAAAAAAAATTATGACAAAAGGCACAGAAGGGCTTCGGAAGATGAGGCAAGTGATAAGTTCTTTTCCAAGTGGAGGGCAAGAAAGGGAAGGATAATGACAGGAAAAGTTGAGAGGACCTAGTGGATGGGTTACAGGGGTGAGTATGGGCCAGAGGGGACACATTCCTGTTAGATTACACCAAAGCGTGCCTGGAGAAGGCCCAGGGGAGTTACAGCAAACATAAAGCAGTGAGAGAAAAGGAAGTAGGGTGCTTTTTGTTTTTTGTTTAATGGAAAAATGCCATAGGTTCAGTAGATTAGCACAAAATGAGGGTTTCCAGGTAATCTGAAGTCACCTAAACAAGCCTGTTGGGGCTTGGGATATAACTCATTTGGTAGAGTGTTTGCCTAGCATTCACAAGGTCCTGGGTTTAATTCCCAGCAAACCCCCTCCCCCCCAAAAAATAATGCTGTCAGATATCACTCTGAATAGCAAGAAGCTTCAAACCCAATAGGAAATATTTGTTAATCTAAATACTTGGGAAAACTCAGGAAATTTAGCAATGGGAAAATCTTATGTAGGTTTTAGAATTTCCCATCAGGAGAAAGCTGTGTAAGATTTACCAGAGCTGATTTTTAGGACATTAGCAGCTTGCCAGGGCCAAGGGCCATGGTGGTAGTAGCTTTGGCTATTAGGAGCAGTCTGATCCAGATAGGATTCATACTACTATTTGACATTCATTTATATGTAGGCACTTGGGTATAGATGAATCTATATTAAAGATAGTTCCTGTACTGAGTTTACATTTTGTGTCACTGGAAAGATGAGAGGAGCCAACTTTTTCCCTCTTTTTCTCCTTTATTGGATAGATCTTTAATCATTTCTTCTTGAGGATGCTTTGCATTTCCTTAGTCAAAGGAAGGAGAATAAGAGATGAGAAAAACAGGTCTGCTCTCAGATCCTAGTGATGCACTGCTCCCTGGATTTTAGTCAAAAAGACCAAGAAATGACTACGATCCCGTGATATTGTATGTTCTGGTTTGAGGACGGTCAGCCCATCTTGATCTATATTCCTTGTCCTGTTTCTCAGAGATTTTGATTCTTTGGATGAACAAAATGTGGAAAAGAATAACCAGCTGGCCTTTGATATTGCTGAGAAAGAACTGGGCATCTCTCCCATCATGACAGGCAAAGACATGGCCTCTGTTGGGGAGCCTGACAAGCTGTCCATGGTGATGTACCTGACTCAGTTCTATGAGATGTTTAAGGACTCACTCTCCTCTACTGGTAAGGAGCTGGTGGGTGTGGTATGGAATTCTTAGTTTCCTGTTGAGCTATTGTCCAGGCATTTCTGTCTTTTCTTCCAATTGTGCCCTTCATCAGTACCACTAAATACAATACCACCAAGCTCAGGCTTACTCTGTTTCTACTGCTCAATGTGGAGGCAAAGCAGATCTGTGTTTGCTGAGATCCTAATTCCAACTTAGGATAGAAGGCATTTCTTATGCAATATAACTGAAATGTTGTCTCAGTTATCAGTAGAGTTCTCTGAAAATTGCTTCATTATTTTTCTCTTTTCTAGTCATGTGTTCTAAACCATTCATTATTTTACAAAGTTTTTTTTTACTTAATCTGTAAATATGCAAAAATCATTCCTGCTCAAACTTTTTTTGTTCCCCTCAACTCTCCTACTCCTTTCCTCAGAACCAGCCCTTCTGAAGTGGTTCATGTTTGTGGCCTCTATTTACTACCTAAACTTTATAACACTTTGAAATCCATCTTATCTTTGTACTACTCTCTCAACACAGTTTTCTACAGTTAGGAAGAATCATCCTTCCATATTCTTTTCTCATTCTCACGTAGTTGCCTCTTCTGCATCATTCAACACTATAGAATAAATGTTCTCTTCCTTGAAATTCTCTCTTCTCAGCTTCTGTAACAGTGCCCTACTATTCTTTCTTCTGTAACTGTTCCCTTTCTAGTTTTCTTTCTACCTTTTAGGGTTTCCCAAAAATCTCTTGTTGGCTCTTAGCCTGCTGCCTCTACTTATCATGGGGCTACAAAAAATATTCTTATTGTCATTTATTGCCCTGTGAAATAAATGTAGTATAATGTCTAACAGTGTTGACCGTGGTATCTGACCTGAATTTATATCCCAGTATTTTCACTTGTTTGACCTAAGGCAAGTTATTAAATTTCCCTATGCCTCATGTATGTAATATGTAAAATGGGATAATACACATAATTACATTATGATATGCTACAAAGAATGTTTGGCATATGGGACCACTTAATAAATATTAGTGATTTCTTTTTATTAGTTTCAATTACTATTGATACTAATAAAATTTTGGAATCCATAAAGTTTATGGTACCACTCCTGAGTGTCTTCTAGTCCATGACTCTTATAGGTATCTGAGTCTCTTCCTGATTACATACGCGAAACATGCAACTCTAACAAAAATATTCCCATTTAGGGGGAGCCCCTTAGTATACTCAGCGAAGACCATGGCCTCTACATCTACCCAAACCAATGACCCTATTAGGCTCTGCTCTGCTCTCTCCCCTTCCCTCTCTCTGTCCTGAAATTTTTATTACCAAAAGTAAGGCTTTAGCACTTAAGGACCTTAAAAAAGCAGAAGGGCAGTTTTTTGTAATGGAAGTATATTGAGGAAAGAGTTTGTTTTGTTCATGTGGGTGGAAAAGAGAAGGGTTAATGTCCAGACTCAAATGTGCATTTCCTTTGTGGCATTTCTACAAAGAGCTGCCTTTAGAGCTTCCTGAGATTCCTTTCCATGAGCCCCTCGAAGACAGAGTGGTTCTGGTCAGGACTTCATAGCACCCTCGAGGGCTGTCCTTGAACACTGCTGATTTCTCTTTACAGACACCTTGGACTTGAATGCTGAGGAAAAAGCAGTTCTGATAGCCAGCACCAAATCCCCTATCTCCTTCCTGAGCAAACTTGGGCAGACTATCTCTCGGAAGCGTTCTCCCAAGGTACCAACACGTGGGAGTCATTTTTCTAGTAACTGCAAGTTAATGACAAAGTGTAGTGAATGGAATGATGTAGCTTCCTTCTTTTCTTGGTGCAGGATAAAAAGGAAAAGGACTTGGATGGAGCTGGAAAGAGGAGAAAAACTAGTCAATCAGAGGAGGTGAGATTCATCTCGGGATTTGCTAGAATTATTATACTAAGTTTTCCTTTTTGGTTTAAATTGTTAATTCCCAAATTGGTTTCACTAGATCCTTTATGGGAACTTCTGTGAGCAGCTTTTTCTGTGGATCTTTATTTAATTTTCTAGAGAACAACCAGGAAACATATATATACATGTGCACTTAGACCTTCCTATCTCTTTGGAGTCACACGTTTGGCCAACTACAGAGGCTTTTGTGGGAAATGGTGATACCAGCACAAGTCCAAAAACTCTTATAATGCCCCATGTGCCAGGGTCTTATTGACTATTTGGAGATTAGTACCTTAAAGAGAGCTGTTAAACTCAACCTAAAGCTACTGTGTGGATCCTGATTACACTTCTTTAAGGGAGGAGGAAGTAAGTGAAGGGTACCTATAATAGTCTGGTTCTCTGGTACTTGCCATTTGTCAGGAGGAAACTCCCAGGGGCTACAGAGGAGAAAGACCAACACTGGTGAGCACCCTGACAGACAGGAGGATGGATGTTGCTGTTGGAAACCAGAATAAAGTGAAGTACATGGCAACCCAGCTGTTGGCCAAATTTGAAGAGAATGCGCCCGCACAGACTACTGGCATAAGGAGACAGGTAAGCACATCTCCCACCCAGACTGGCCAAGTCATACAGGAAGGAGGACCTTTTCAGTGAGACGGACCGTGTCGCTCAAAACTAGTGTCTAATTTTCTCTTGTCTGACTGTGATAGAGATGTGTATTTCCTAAGCTCATCTTAGGCATTCAGTGCTGCTTTATGTTCTGCACAAGTCTGAGGCATCTTTATCAAAGTCAAGTGGGATCTAAAAAATATATAATTATACATCTATCTATACACGGGTATAAATTCACACACACACATATTTAAATTATAAAATAAGTATGTGCTTATTGATTAAAATGCTGAAAAGCATAGTAAAGATAACTGAGGTACCTATAATTTTGCTAATATACTCCTGCATTGCTTTCTGGTTTTCTCCCCTCCCCCATGCTTTCTTGTTTTCATAATGGTGGTCATTTTAAAATGTATTTTTCTATTCTGCTATTTTCATTTAACTTTAGGCACATTCCCATGTGTTCCCAAATCTTTTTGGCATTTTCCAAAATGTGCTGAGTCATTCTAGTGTTGGTTGTTTTAGTTTTTCCCCATCTTTCATGATGAAATAGAGGTAACCATTCTTGCAATAAAGCTGTTTTTTTGTGTGTTGCAAAGTATTTTTCTAGGATATTACTGAATATGTGAACATTTGGATACTAAATTACACACCCCAGTTTATGCATGAGAGTACCAGACAGTATTTGACCTGAGGTGTCCTTGTTAAGTCTTGTCACTGCCTTGCTTCACCAAGGCTTCTTACAAAGGGGGGCATTGGGATTTTGATATTTATACTCAAAATTCCTATAAAACTCCCTGATAACCTGAAAGGTTATCCAAAGGACAGGAGGCCTATTCTTTTTGTTCTCTTTGTCTCTTTATCTTCTCCATACTCTTTATCAACCATTGTCCCTATGGACCAGGCAGGTGGCACTGATTTTCTTGGTTTCTGACCACATCTCATCTTTAGTTATTAGTATTTGTACTCCTATCTTTTCATGTTGTGGTTTGCAGGAAAGATAGTATTATTCACTGGGAAACATTAGAGGTTGCCTGGATGTTCTGGCAACCCCAGGTTCCTCAGGCAGGCTACAATGCCCTCTTTGGGAGGTAAATTGCTTCCAAGAAAAGGTTGCTTTCCTCATTAGTTTTCAAAATTAGAGTTAATAGTTTAGACAGAGAGCTTTGGGTTTAGGGAAAGAATAATGAGAACCACAGCTTCTGTCTCTTTTTTTTCTTCTTTTTTGTACTTGCTTTTCATTTGGGGGGCTCCTTCCTTCCTTCCCTTCCTTCCTTCCTTTCGTAAATTCCACCTGCCTTCTCACAGTTCATAGATCAATGTCTGTCTTCCATGGGTACTTTTTTTTTTTTTCAGTGTCTTTTCCTACCTTAATGTATTTTATTTTGTTTTGTCTCCATGTCTGTCCCCCACCCACACTTGGCCTGTGTGTCACAGCCGACACAAGAGCGTGGGGTCAGCCAGCCGACCTGCTGCCTGCCTGAGCAGGGTCTCCCTGCTCCCATCCCCCAGTGGAAACAGGTAAAGGAACTGCTCAGGGATTAGGATGGGGTCTGTTGCCATAGGTCTTTCCACCCTACTCCTGCTTCTGGGTCTGCCCGTGTTCATACCTGCCCTTGAGAAGCCTCGCTCACAAGGGCTAGAAGGCTCTGTGCTCATTTGAGCAGTAACTCTGAGAAAACATTGAACAGACAGTGCTGATTCAATTCCATGATTCAGTTAACTCCTTGGGATTTGAGAAACCAGTTTAAAAGGCAGACTGTTAATTTGGTGCTGAAACTAGCTGAAGTGATTTGACAAGCTTTTTAGGTATGTCAGCCTTTGGGGCTTTAACTGTTGTAACATTTGTCCCATGTTAACTTTTTGCTAGCTTCTCTACTCATGTCCATTGCTGGGAGAATCTTGACTTCTTCAGACCTGAGAATAGCGGGTAGAGGTGGGGCAGTGGAGAGAGCCTTTCACATGAAATGGGGAAATGATAACCATGACAGTAGTTTTGAAGTATAGTTTTGTTTCAAACCTTGTACAAAGAAAGGTGTCATGGGCATTTTTCTTGGGTTTTGTCCATACTTGAAGTAACTCTTTTTGCCTGAATGTGGAGTGTACCTGTAGTCCCAGCTACTTGGGAGACTGAGACAAGAAGGTTGCTTTAGCCCAGGAATTCAAGGCCAGCCTAGGCAACATAGGAAATCTTAATCTCAAAAATGTATATAATAATGATTAATTAATAAAATATTCTTTTGGGGGACCACAGGTATAGCTCAGTGACAGAGGATTTGCCTATCAGGTGCAAGACCCTAAGTTCCATCCCTAGCAGTACCCCCACCGCCTCACCCCCACCCTCCAAAACACCCTTTTTGACATTGTCACTAAAATGTTTTAGGATTTCCCAGAAAATTGCTCATCCTAACAGTGTAGAAAGAAGCAGATAACAATACCTGTTTTATAATAGAAAACCTATCTGAAACTTATCTGAGGAATTGGAAGTCTCTGTTAGATTTTCTCTCACATCACAATTGCGCAAATTTCTGCTCTATAGAACCTGGAATAGCTTTCTCATAGTTTGATATCATGTAGAACTGATAGGATAATGATAGGTCAGATAAGCTGATCCTGGATTTTATTAGCATCTTCCACAGTTGGCCTCACTCACCTCTTGTGCTGTAACATAGCCTCTGTTGACAGGATATGCTGAAGAACCTTGAATTGGGCCTTATTTAAATTGCATTCAGGAAAAATGTTACTTTCTAAAACTATAACAATATGCCACATGAAAGGCATGACCCATAAGGCTAAGATGGAATCTTGGGAGTGGTGTCCAAACTCATAGCTAAAGTCAAACTTCCCTTTCTCTATGCTTCGGAGAGGTCTTCTGAAATGTTTTCATCAAAAATTTACTGTATTTTATTTTCTTACCCTTGCTTGAAGTGGAAGATAAGATTTGAAAAGTAATCTTAGTTGAGGATATTGAGGTGTGACGCAAATTCTAAACTAGATTCTAGAAACTCTATAGACTCAGAGGGTAGCCTGAGGTAGAAACAAAGTGGGAAGATCAGAAGCAATCTACGCAAGTGGGTGGATAGATAATCCTATATGTCATGTGCCTGGTATAGCTTTGGTGGGCTTACTGGGAAGTGTGGGGTAGTGAATGTGGCTTGAGACGTTGGCTGAGTCATGGCCTCAGTCCTGTGAAGATGGACTCATCAGCTCATAATCTGATGGTGCTGCCCTGAAGAGGCATCAGGAGCTTGATTTTATGGGACTACTTATGGATTGTCTGATAAGCCTATAGCATTTTTCAGGGATTGGTATGGAGATTATTGTTCATCCAAACTTACATAGCTTGTAATCAGGTCATTATGGTCACAATCAGTGAAGTAGGGTGATACTAACAAGCCATCTGTACAGCAGATTAAAACCCTTAAAGTCAAACATAGGTTCTAGGAATAAGTACCAGAGATTATAGCTGGATAGAGCAACTAAGTAGATGGGTAAATAAGAAATCACAAGTAATGAAAACCTTGTTAGATCTTTATATGCTTTAGGTTTTATAAAGTTGGAGATTGTGAATATTATTTGAAATTTATAATATTCACATAATAATCTTTTCCTGAGTGTTGGCCTCTAAATTTATCTCCTGAACACTAGAGGTGGATGCGATGTCAGGTTCTACAGATACCTAAAAAGACAAGAACTTGGGAACACTTTGGCTGCTGCTCTGTCTTGCCCTGATTGCTGGCCTTTCATCTCCCTTCAGGAACTGGGTGCTGACTGGAGCACCTCATTGTGGCTCACTTTGTGCTTCTCTTGACATTGTTCCCACTAATGCAGGAGGGTGTGACAGACACAGCAGTGATTGCTGAGTTGACAAGAAAATCAGTTTCAATTTCAGTCATTGTATGGAAGAAGAGAAATGAATAACAACTCTGCTTGCCAATGACTTCTCTTCCTAACCTTCCTGTATAATCACTGTGGCTCTTTCCTTCCCTACTCCTTTTGCGTTTGATCCCAGAAGTGCATCCTGTACGCAAACTCTGCGCAAGAACCAGCCTTGGTTTGGAAGTAGATTGTTACCTGAGGTGGGAACAAACAGTGGGGATGCTTCCCCTGGTCTCATGACTACTAAAGCCTTCCTCCTGCAGGCTTTACATGTATGCCTACCCCAGGCAGAGAAAACTAAGAATTACCTGAAAGGAATCAAAGAGGCCCAAGATAATGTGCAGTTGCTTCTCAAATGCAGAGAAGTTTTCTTAGAGGTGCAGAATGAGGAAAAAAAGTCATGAAGATATATATGGTATCAATTAGTGAAATATGCCTAATTATTTTATCCTGTTTCCTGTACTTTTTGTCCTACCTTGGTATTCTCAGAAATTTTGAATGTTATTTAGGATGTGAAAAGAGTAGGTAGGATATTATCACAAATACCTGTGCGTTCTGCTTTGTTGCTATGGGGTGTGCATCACCAACTTTTAAGAGATAGTCTTATATCACTTATAGTGGACCCGAATGCCTTTTTTCTCTGCTTATAATTAAGACCATTTTCCTGTCCTCCAACTTCCCTGCCAAATCCCTTGATTCCTGTCATTTAGAAAGTGCTACATCACAAGTTCTCACCAGCTACATAGATTACCTGTGCTATCAGTGCCTAACAGAAGGTGTCAGTCCAACCTGGAGCTCATCAAGAGTTTGTGACAAGCCACCCTCTCTAACCACATAGTGATTTGCTTTTGAGGCTCGAGGGCCAAGGAAGGGGCCTCCCAGGTTGCTTCGGAAAATGCCCATCAGCCTTTCCAGAACTACCCTTCATGTAGCCATTGTCTGAACAATGTTCTCTCTGTTTGTGTCTATTGGTGTAAAAGCGACGGGAAAAGGAACGTTCTCGGACCTGCCCAAAAAAAGTGATCACACTTTCTCCTCCCCCTACTTCACCTGCCTGTCAGGTGCACAGTGAACAGCAGGTGATCTTCTCTGCATGCTCTATGTCCTATCTGTCTTCTTGCCTGCCTGTGTAAAGACCAACTCAGTAATCCCTCTTTTCTACTTAAATGTTATATACCATTTGTAGAAACAATTTGTAACAGAAACAACCTATAGTGCTACAAATTGGCATTTCCTGAATGGACCTCAGGATAATGCACTGTACATTCAAATCCTGGGCAGTTTAATCTAGTTTCCATCCTAGGAATATAAGTATGTAACCACAAACTAAAATATAAAACTATATTTTGTGGAGATTGAGGCCTACAAGCCCTGATAGCAATGCATTTTTATAAAATCTCATTTAAAGCAGCCATTTTTCTCTTGCTTTTCTGTAAGTTGTGATTAAAATGGGCATTTGGAAGCTTTATAGGACCTCCCTACGTGAGTTTGATTCCTTTTGATTGAGAGCCCTGATTCTTATTTACCCAATTCCTCCTAACAAATGCTCACCCTTCCCCATCTGCCCCACTCACATTCCAGGCCTATCACTCAAGCTGTTTTACAGGGGTAGGGTGGTAACTCTATGATATATTGCCTCCTAGCATTCATGAAGCCCTGGGTTCAGTCCCCAGTACTACACACACACACACACACACACACACACACACACACACACACACACAGAATATTAACCACAGACATGGCTAGTGAATATTTGTGGCAAGCATACTTATTTATTTATAGAATGGCTTTGTTGACCTTTATGGTATATCCCTGTAAAATAAAATGCTAATTTGGAGGGCAGGATCTGTGCAAAGACATTTTCTCAATTAAGGTAGCCTATTTAAAAGGGGACTACTAATAACAGTCTGATTTTAGAGGTTCAACGTATGTCCATTGGTTTAAGAACTGAGCCATGGTAGATTCAGGTACCAGGATTGGAGGTGTAGCTCAGTGGTAGAGCATTTGTCTAGCATGTGCAAGGCCCTGGGTTCAATCCCTAGTACTGGGGCGGGGGGGGGGGCGCGGGGAGTAACTGCCCAATTCTTTGTCTCTAATAGCTAACAATTATAACAATTATGAGCATTTACTATGACCCAAGTTTCTTTTGTGTGTCATCTTAGCCAGTTCTCATAACAATTCAAAACAGGTACCATTATTATCTTCATTTTACAAATGAGGAGACTGAGCACAGGGTAGAGAAGCCAAGTAATTTGTATAGAGCCACACAGGAAGTAATGGAACCAAAATTGAATCCTGGTCATGAGCCTCAGGAGCCCAAGCTCTGGCCTCATTATGCTTATGGAGACAGTCTGCTTCTGGGTAGCCACATGGGAAGGTTTGGATCAATTTTGCACCAGTACATGGTATAAGGTGAAAGTCCTTAGTTGTCCTTAGTAGATGAGCATGGGGGTCTTCCCCATTCTCGTGATTGCTCTTAATGATTTCCTCAGTTCAGCAAGGCAACCCTGTGCCTGTGTTACAGGTTCCCATTTCTCTCATGTATGTATTCCTGTCTATAAACTGAAAATGCTTCCAGTCTTCGTCTACTTCTCCCTATAATAAAATATGTTCTTCTTGAGGGTCTACCTGAGTTTCCTCTGGGCTCATAATGGTTATTTATTCCAGCCAGTTTTTACCTCTGCACCTTTTCTTTCTAATATCTTATTGTGGAAAACTTCACCCTACTAACCTTCAATTGAATGCCTCTGATCTCATGCCACTGTGTGAAAGAAGTGTGCTTGTTCCACCTTTGTACTAACCTTAGTTTTTTATTCATCTATATAGCTGACCTCATTGGAGGCCAGGTGGACAGAATGGCTGTGCAAAAAATTGTTCTTGGGTCCTGGAATTTGATTGGGGTTATGGTAAGTTGGGTGGAGACCAGTAGGGACAGGGGATATGCATTGAAATGAATTTCTGCCTCTGAATGTCCCGCTCTCACCTAGTAGTTTCAAATAGAGCATCTGAATGGAGCTTAAGTTTCTACTTTGTTGCCAACAGACATACAGGGATCTTGATGCTGACAGCCGTGGCAAGCAGAGTCCCCGACATGAGAGGGTAAAAGAGCATGAACCCGTGGCATGGGATGCTAAGAGCCAAAGAAGTGGGGCACGCTGTGTGGTGGGGCAGTGGGAAGGGGGCATGGAGGATGGTCCCTTTTCCCCTTGCTTTTTGCACATTTGTCACTCAGCCTCTACCCCCAAAGTATGTGTTAATGGGAGAAAAGCATTAACTGCCAGGGATAGCTTCTCAGGAGAAAGGTCTATGTAAGTAAGCAGGTAACTTTTGACAGTTATAGATCTTGAAGTAGAAATATTAAGAGAAATGCTGTTTGCCAGTCTGAGGATTTATCAAGAGTGAAAAGGATAAGTGGAAAGAAGGTGATGGCAATATGGGTATGCATAATGAAAAGCTTCCACTGGTCTTTTTTAAAAAACTAAGGGAGGAATCACTGATTGCAACTGACCATCATAATTTATTCAGTAACATAGATGACCAGTTGAAGAGGCCTGCTTATTTTATGAGACTTTTGGTTATTGTTGTTATCCCCCTCCTTTAAAAAAGATCCCCAGATGGGGATAACTTTACAGCTAGAGTAGGTTATCTATAGTTGCTAATCTCACATAAGCCCTTTATATTGTTTTTACCTCCTCTTCTGTCTATCCTTTCTGAAAAATGCAGTTAGTAAATCAGGTTACTTCTCAGATCTGTTAAGAAACTAACCATAGCACTCTAACTATGCTCTCTCACCAGATTGCCGCCAGGCAGCTATATGCTGTCAAGATGGGAGTGCTGGGTTAGGGATCAAGGTGAAGGGGCTGTCTGTTGCACCTTCTCAGCATGGCTAGGCCTTATTTTATTTTCCTCATTGTTTATCGTGCAGGTTATTAGGGCTGCCTTCTTCCACAGGCACTGTGGGAACCCAGCCTTCATCCCAGGCTGTACTTTACATCTCTCAAAAAGAAAAGTAGGCATTTTCCTTGAGCAGGACAGTACCCTACATTTTGGAGAATGTCTGTTTTAATGAGGTTCTGATGATTTTTACTAACACCTTAAAGAAGAAGAAAGGGAAGTATGTTGAGTATAAGAAGAAATTGGCCAGGAGCAACACTTCTGAAGTCTAGGGTTACCAAGGGGAAGTGCACAAAAGACAATAGATGTTTGGGGATTTTTCTTCCTTTTTCCCCAAGGAGCTAGTATCTGGATTCCTCAGTACAGAGCTCTAGGCTAGATACTTTGGAGGGACAACACTTATGTTTTTCCAAAACTTTCTTTCCACTGCTCCAGTACCATGTGTACACTGCTCGCTTTTGATGCCTATTGCTCCTTCATTAAGTTCTGTCGACTTTGTCATGCTAAGGGGATGGATGTTCAGTCTTGTTGTGGCCTTTTGGTGAGTGATACTAGTACTCTTCCACAAAGTCCATCCCCAACTCCCTGAGGGCTTTTGTAGCTGAATCTACCTTGAATGCTGAGCTTAGGACCAGGGAGCTAGCTGAGCATCTGGAGCAGAGTATAGGCTAGTTAGGTACCAGATAACTGCCATTCCATGTTGTTACCCCCAGAAATGTTGTGAGTGTATATTGGCTGAAGTAAGGGGTGCAGTGGATCTGGAGGAGCAGAGAGCTTCTCATTACCCTAATAGTAGTACCTCTGTTCCTCCAAGCCTATAAATATTTCACCTTGAACCTGGTAGGAAACTAAGCAGTTATTACTTGCTAACGCTTTCACCTATCTCACTCTCTGGGCCAATTGCTGAAGAAAACACTGGCTCATTTTTGCTGTATGTGTTGTGTGCAGTCTGCAAAAGATGTGGGAGCTTTGAGTCTTGTCTCCTATTTATTGCTTGAGGTTTGACTGGCCTCGTTGGCAAACAGAACTTCTCCAAGCACTAGAAGGAGGATAAGCACTATTCCTGCCCTTGATACAGAAAAAGCAAGCTTAGCCCTATTTACTGTCTCTCTTGCTTGCTAATTAGAAGGCTAATTGAATAACGGGGTGGTGGCAGAATTCTTCCTTACCCAGAAAGCATGCCTTGGGCCAGGGAAAGGGCTCTCCGCAGGGGACAAGGTATATGTTTGCAGTACCTGCCGACGCCTACCCTATCACTCAGCTGGCAGAATTGCCCACTTAGAGGACGGGTGGAGTAAGAATACCAACCCAGAAAAGACAAGGCTTTCATAGCTGGTTTACCTGTGAAGAACGACATATCTCTGTGGCATATCTTTTACAACTAGGATTCAAATTTGGGCTGGGAATACAGCTCAGTTTGTAGAATGCCTGCCTTGCATGCCCAAGACCCTGGGTTCAATTCCCAGCACCACACACACACACACACTCGCACGCGCGCACGCACACACACAATCAAAAATGCACTATTTATGTTCAGAGCACGCTTCACTATAAGCATTGGAAGATAAGTAAAAAACAAAATGGGAGCCTTGATTAGGGAGCCACTTGAGCTTCTGGGAGCTAAAAATATTTCTTTATCATATGGATTAGATAGAGGTCTAGAGTAGAAGGGTCTAAAACTGTCAAAATTTCTTGTTTGAGGTATGACTTTTAATTTAACATTTTCCTTTGATTTTTCCCCCTCCATCTTGTATTTTATAGACAGAGCCTGAACCTTCTCGTCGATTTTTTGTTGACCAGTGGGAGCTTTCTCTTAGTCTCCGCTCCTCCAACCGCCCTGCCTCTCCCTCCTCCGACTCCCTTCGACAGGTAGCATGGTCTGAGAATTGGCAAAACCATGTTTCCTCTGCAGCCTCTGCTCACTTCACTTTCACACATGCCTTCTGTCCAGAGGTCTTAACCTTGGCCTCTCTCCTGTAAGAAGCTAATGGTGTGTGTCTGTATGTGTGAGGGTTACAGCAGACACATAAATTAAAGAGGCTGCTGGCTTTCACTGAATTGTATTTAACACTGCCAAAGTCTGTCAAAGTAAGCCTACTTTGATTGTATTTTAACTATATTCAATAATAATTTTTTTAGCCATTGGGTTTTTAAATTTCATATGCCTTTGTAATCATGTATTACATGTTGTAATGAAATCACTTAAGCAGAATAGTGAATCTGCAGTATTCTGAGTGCCTCTTAACCTGTAATCATGTGAGTAATGAATGCTGCTATTTCCCACAGTAGCACTGATCTAGCCATAGAGGAGTTTGTAGGGAGATTAGAGCGTCTTTTTGCCCATTCTGTTTGTGCTTCCTTTTCTTGAGCTAGTACTAGACTCTGCGGTACATATGTGCAGAATCACATGCATGTGTGTGGTGTGCAGTACTTTAATCTAGTGATTGCTATGCTTTGACTATTTTTTAAGAACAGGGAGAAGGAAACTATCTGCTTTTCTTGCCAAAAGCAAACAACTTAAGTTTTCACCTCTGGGAGGTGGGGGGTACTTAGTGTTACACCACCTTGCTGAGAATTGAATGTGACAAATGCCTTTACACATGAGCAGCCCCAGGCTGTAACTACTGAGGATGATGGTTTCTGGCCATCAGAGAAGGGTCTTGTCTGTGCAGTGGGGGCACAGGGGCTGTACAGTGTCCTGGCCACATGTTTGACATCTGGTCTACATTCACTTGTTTGCGACAGAATGAAAAAAAAAATGCAATTTTCTGTTCCCTCAATGTCAGCTACTAAATGATTTGCTCCACTTTGCCTAGTGTCTGCCTATTCTAGGCCTAAGTGTCTCCAATGTCCCTAATCTAAAGAAAGTTTAGATCTAAGAACCACTTGTTTTTTCTCAACTACTAATGATTATAGCTATGAAGTTAATAGACAAATGGCTACAATCCTTGGAAATCTCCTTATTTTTGAGTTAAGAAATATGATTTCTCAGTTCCAGCTAAGCTTTGAGCTATGCAACCAAAAAAGTATTTTTTTTCTCATTTGTGCTTCTGTTATTCCCAGATTTACATGAGTTAGCTCCCTCCCCATCCCCAGAGCACTTCTCTTTGCCCCTGCCCAGCCATGGCATATCATGGGTTGGGCAAGGGCAGATAAAGGTTATCACCAGTAATACCAGAACTCTTACACATGCCCTTTTATGTATGTCTATTCAAACCACTTCCTAAGGGGGTTATTTACTTCTCCAAAATAACTACACCTACTGTGTTTCTGAGTCAGAATTAGATTCACAGCCTCCTGAATTTGTCAGAGATCCCCCTTGTTCCACATAATTCATGAAAAGAGAAGCACATAGTACATGGAAAGTGACTTGGATATGGAGTCCCTAAAAGATTGCCAGCAGGACTTTGCATTCCCAGGGATAGGCTCCAAAGCAGGGCTGCCCTGGGTACCAGCCCGTGGTGTGAGCAGGATGGCTTATCATGCAGACATTTCTCCTTTTATTTCTTGAATATTGCCAGGAAGAGGATTGAATTGGTTGGATTTTCTTTTTCTTCTACCTTTTCAAATTCTAAAAATAATCCCTTCTGGACTAGAAATACATTTTGACTTCTCAGGATTAAGAAACTTGTTTACATGGCTGCACTGTGTGGTTAAGATGCCCCACCCAGCCTAAAAGGCTTTGGCATTAGTGCTTGGATAGATCATAAGGCTTTCTTATGCTGTTCTCAAGCCCCCATTAAATATTAACAGGGAAAATGGGCAAGAAGACTTTTTCCAACAGAGCTCAGGAATGTCTGCTGCATGTAACAGTTGCTATATGAGTCAAGTGCTAACAAGGAAGATAAAGATTATCACCAGTAATACCAGAACTCTTGACATCAGTCAGTGACCCCAGTGGATTATCATTTGCAAGAATGAACTTAACTTATTTCTAAATGAGGAAGTAGTCTACCAGACTCTCTCCTTTACTCTGAAATGGTGGTCAGTGTGGACATCCATTGCTTGTGTGGAGTTATTCCTCTTGAATCCTTTGTGTGTAATTTGATTCACCAGGGTACGTGCCCTTCTTACTGTCTTCTGTGTTTTCATCCATTCTTCCTTTTACTTCCTATCTGCCTGAAACTATATATTCCAAAAATAAGACATGAAAGACCAAGTTCTCCCTGTGGAAAGATCATCTCCCACAAATGCTGCTCCTTTCTATGCTGACCACCACCACCCCACACAAGTAGGTGCTGACACAGTGTTTTACTCACCACCATTTCTCTGCTTGTGGGCACTGTGTTGGCATGGTTTGCTGCTGCACCGTGTAGTCATTTTACATCTTAAAATAGTTTTTTCTTGTCTTCTTAATTTTTTTTCCTTCTCATTTCCTTTCATTCTGGTCAATTCTATAATCTCCAACCAATAGAAGTATATAAAGATGTACACGGGCGGAGTGAGCTCATTGGCTGAGCAGATAGCCAATCAGCTTCAAAGGAAAGAGCAGCCCAAAATCCTTCTAGACAAGAAGGAGCTGGTAAGAGATATCTCAAGGGCACTGGTGCTAGCCTTCACACTGCTATGGGGGAACAAACCTGCTTTGTTCCAAGGAGCTTAGTAAATTGTTTGGCCGCTTGTGTTGGCATGTAATAATTTTTCAAGGTTGTCTGAATTTTGATAATTGAATGTTTAGAATGTTGTGTGGAAGAGCATTTGTACCTCTAAAAGTAATCACTCGTGGAACACTCTAGTGAACACTGAATATGTATATACCAATGCTTCTCTCTAAAAAGAATTCTGTCAGAATGATTTGGTTTGATTAGGAAAATATAAACTTGGATCCTTTATCAGAAGCAAATTTTGGTTGTTGATTAACACTAATTCAGGCTTCACTTTGTACTGAGGGCTCCTGGGAAGGGCTTGTGTGTTATAACTACTGCAAGAGTGCTGCTGTTCTTCTGGAGAGCCAAAAGCAGAGCAAATGTGGCCCTTTAGCACTTGTAGTCTATCTCCAAATAAAAACACCTGGTAAGAGTCAGCTTCACTTAGAGAGGGGTTGTACAGCTCCAGGAAGGAAGACTGAGAGGCCTTGCCCTAACTCCTTCTCCCCTCCCCCAGGGCTCCATGAAGAAGGAGTTCCCACAGAATTTGGGGGGCAGCGACACGTGCTATTTCTGCCAGAAGCGGGTCTATGTGATGGAGAGACTGAGTGCTGAGGGCAAGTTCTTCCACCGGAGCTGCTTTAAATGTGACTACTGTGCCACCACCCTGCGCCTCTCAGCCTATGCCTATGACATTGAGGATGGTGAGTCAGTCTGCACCTTAGCCTATACCTAGAAACTGAGCTCAGGCACTTTTTTTGTCTGTTTGAGCTGGGAACCTTAGGTCCTTTGTTGCTACATTCTTCTGTGTGCTTTTGTTATAGCTCTACTAACCCTTCCTACCTCTCCCCCTCCATTATTTCCTTTTTTCTCTGAAACTATTTCTTATAAATATTTTTTCTGAAGTCACCAGGATGTATCATAGTGTTACCCAGTAATTATGGTAATGAGAATGGCATGCATTTACCTAAACCAGTTCTCTGAGTTTACACTCCCTTGCTTTTTTACCTCATGGTGGGATCTTGAGGTAAAAGGACACAATATGGGGCTGGGACTGTAGCTAAGTGGTAGAGCACTTGCCTCACAGGTGTGAGACCCTGGGTTCAGTCCTCAGCACCACATAAAAACAAATAAGTAAATAAAAAAGATTTTTTTTTTTTGAAAGGACACAATATGGATAAGCCTTGTTGTCTTTCTGGTAGTGGGGTTACAGATATGTAGAAATTATGCTTCTTGCCTATAGTTGATGACTGCAAATATAAATAGATCCCAGGCCCCTTAATACTCAAGCTTCTGCCCCTGGGAGCTGACTGAAATATGCCTGATGTTGCTGTCTCCCTCTGGCATCATCATCTTCTTGCCTCGTGTTTGAGGAATGGACAGCTCATTGCCCAAGGATTTACTGTAGCATTGACTATTTTTACAATGGAAAGACCTTGGCCAGTGGAAGGTATAGAAGTGGGCAAACACTTCACAGAAACTGACAGATATTGGCCACTTGTAATCTGAAGATCCTGAAGGTTAATAGAAATAGGTAAATGCGGCAGTGGCAAGCCCTGCATCCATTCCTATAGGAATGGAAGGAACTTTGTGGGAGACAGTTTTACTGGTTCAAAATTACCAAAGAGCCTGGCACAGTGGCACATGCTTATAATCCCAGCAATTTAGGAGGCTAAGGCAGGAGGATTGTGAATTCAAAGAGCCTCAGCAAAAGTGAGGTGCTAAGCAAAATAGGACTGGGGATATGGCTCAGTGGTCTGAGTTCAATCCCCCGTACCCCAAAAGAAAATTACCAAAGAGTCCTAGATTACTGGAATTCACGGGTTGGCATTAAATCTATTACATGATAGGTGATTTATTGATTGAAAATATTGCAAGGTAATGTTATACAGAAGGACCAACTAGGTCTCCAGTTACCTAGGTTTTTCTAATAATGAATAAACAGGCCACTGTGCCAAAAGGAGCAAGAAAGGATCCCAAAGTAGTGAATTAAGAAAGGCTAACTGTTGAGCTGGGAATGTAGCTCAGTGGTACAACACTTGCCTAGCATGTGAAAGGCCCTGGGTTCAATCCCCAGCACCACCAAAAAAAAGGTGGGCGGGGGGGGGGCGGGAGGAGAAGAAAGGTTAACTCTCTTTTATTATCATAGCACCTTCTACTCTTAACTGTGTTAGTAAAGAGCACTGTCCAAACAAAATTAAATTTTAAAAAAAAAAAGCATTAGCATTATTCAAGCTGGATGCAATGACACATGCCTATAATCCCATCAGCTCAGGAGGCTGAGACAGGAGGATTATAAATTCAGAGGCTGCCTCAGCAACTTAGTGAAGCCCTAAGCAACTTAGTGAGACCCTATCACAAAATAAATTATAAAAAGGGCTGGGGGCGCTGGGGCTTAGCAGTAGCCTACTTGCCTGGCATGTGTGAGGCACTGGGTTCGATTCTCAGCAATACAGACCTTTATTAAAGGTCTGTCAACAACTAAAAAAAAAAAAAGTAAAGAGCTCTATCCAATTAGGAAAGAATTAAGATAGTTACTCAGGTAAGGAAAATAAATTTCATTATTTCTGTTCTACTTTTCCCACACCCCTGCTCTGGGTAATACCTTTGATTCCAAAGATGATGGTTGGCAGATGGAGCCCACCCAACATCTTGTAACTGTCCTTAGGTTGTTTTAGTTATTTTTTTACCTTGGGAGATCCCTCAGGGTCCAGCCAGTTGGTCCATAGATTATTTTGGCTGCGGATATGTGTTCATCTTTGCTGCATTCTCTTGAGGATACAGATAAAGTCTAAATGTGCCTCCAGTAGCTTAAATTCTGTTTTAGTCAGTTTTCCAATTCCTGATATAATCAATTTATTTTAAAAAATTATTTTGGCTCACAGTTTTGAAGGTTCCAGTTCATGACCAATTGACCCTGTGACAACACATTAAGAGAAGGAACTGGGGGTCCACAATCCCTTCTTGGGGACACCCCCCACCAATGATCTAACAACCTTCCACAAAGCTCCACTTCTTTAAAGGTTCCATTACCTGCCAATAGCATTACCCTGGGAATCAAGCCTCTAACAACATGGGCCTTTGGAAGGACATTCAAGATCTAAATAGTAGCACATTCTGAGGGGACTGATGAGACAAGACATAGGAAGCAAAGTTTACAGTTATAAAAAGGGTGTAGTTAAGGGCAGGTCACATAGTGAATAGTATAACTTAAGTTCAGTGCAAGAGGAAATCGATCATGTTCAACAGCAGTTTGGAATGACTTAACCAACCTTCAGAAATGCATGTGAGGAATGAGAATGGCTAGCAGAGGGGGGAGATGACTTTGCAGGCAAAAGGACAGGTGCCCTGATCCAGTGGCCATTAGCTAGCACAGGATGAAGCTAGCCTGCCAAGACATTATTCTAGACAGCCACAAGAGAGAACAGTGAGTCTACACCAGCTCACCAAATCTTAACCCAAATAGAATTTTCATCAAATTAGCCCCTTCAAAGGATTTCTTCTCTTCTGTCAGGGGACAGGCAGACTAGAAAATGGAATTAAATTTTAGGGGCATACTAAAGTATTAGCCTATTCTACACACAGGTTATTAAATGAAGAATCTAACTGAGATAAGAGAAATTATAACTCTGGAAAAAGAAATAACCCAGGAATTGTGCCAGGTCCTTTAACACAGCACATCATTTCATTCTCACAACAACCTTATGAGGTAGCTATTTTTTAGTTGTAATTTGCCAGTTGGAAAGCAAGTTCAGAGAAGTTTATAAGTTGCTTATCCAATTTTATGCAGCTAATAAGAATTGGTTTGTACTAAATGACCTCTGAGATCCATTCCAGAGTAGGCCCTTCATTAACTCCAAACTGATGAATCGAGATTCATGTACTTAAAAGAGATGTCTGTGATTTGCCCTTGTTGCCATTGAATCTGCCCTTCAACTCTTTAAAGGAAACCGTCTGTCCCAAACCAAACTACTCTTTCCCTTGCCAAATGCTAGCTTGTTTTTATTTGCTATCAACTCTTAAGACTCCAAATTAGATAATATCTTGAGTTGTTCCATATCATCTTAAGGAGAGAAAACAGACTCCCAAGGGGTCTTATGAAGTCTCCAGGCCAGCCACTGCATCTTCTACCCGGACCACTGCTTTCCCTGCCTTCACAATTGCCCCTTTAGTCTGCTTCCATAGAGCAACCCAAGGGATCTTCAAAAGGTGTTAGTCAGATCTTACCAATCCTTTTCTTACTTTATTACCCACTGTAGTACAAATAGAATGTGCAGTCTTTTCCAGGGTGAGAGAGCTTAGCATGAATGAACCCATGTTCATTGTACCCCTGAATTGTACCCATTGTACCTGACCCCAGTTCATTGTACCCCTCTCATAGTGGTCTTTTTCCCATTCTGTAAATGTGATAAAACCATTACTGTCTTGGGCCTTTGCCTTGTCTTCTCTGGAATAACGCCCCCACCCCCCGCCCCCGAGTCTTTGCTGGGTGGCTTCTTGGCCTTCCCATTTCCACATGTCCCCTCCTCAAAGGCCTTCCCAGACCTCTAGCCACTCAGGTTCTGACATACCCCATTTGGTGTCTCCACTACTGCCTCATTTTCATTCACACACCATCTGCCCCATCCAGAGAACTTGTCTGGAGGTTCTTCAGTATTTAGATTGTACTTCTTACTTAAGGATACTCAATAAGTTGTTGAGCAAATGGATAAATGACCCTTATTCCCTTTTCTAGGCACTTACCTATTTATCAGGATTGTTTAATTTAGGTTATCTGTAAAAACCTTAATTTGTAGCTGATTTATAACATTAGCCTGGTTGTCTTTACTAATTGAGACAGACATCATAGCATAGTGGCTAAAAGTACAGGCTCTGGAGCCAGCTTCAAAGTGGGATACTTTGGGCAGATTGCTCAGCATTTCTGTGCCTTAGCTGGGAAAAGGTGGATAATAATGATACCTACCTCATTGGGCTGAGGATTAAATGACTCAATAAATGTAAAGCAGTTAAAATAGTGTCTGACACATGGTAAATGTTAGATAAGAATTACTCTTATTAATCTAAAAAGCAAAAAGTGCTGTTAAGGTTTGGAAAAAGGTTTAAGAAGATATATTAATTTGTCGCGACCCCCTTGCCCGCAAGGAAGACGCGACTCAGGAATCTTCTTTCAGCAGTTTATTCAGGCCCTTGACATTCTTCTAATAATTCTTGTAATCCTAATCGGATGCCCCTCCCAGCCTTAATAAAGCACCGCGAACCCCAATGCGAAGCTGCCACGTGGACCCTTCTCACAGGGTGCTAGAAAACGACACGCCAACTTTCTCTGATAAGGAGCTGACAACACGCCAACTCTCTCTGATATGGAGTTGTCCTTCACAGACCACAGCGGAGCCAGCGCCATCATGTAATGGCGACCACAGTCCGCAGGAACGGCTCACCACATTAATTGAGCACCTGAAACTCATAACATCTGATATCTTAATAATCTGATATCTTTATATCAGATTATTAAGATTATTATGAGATGAGTGTAATGTTTATTTCATATATGAAGAGGTAGTTGTAACAGGCTAAATATATACAACCACTGAGTGTTTGATACAGTATTTGAGCTGAGATCTGATTTCAGAGCTCATACTTTTCACATAAAGTACTATCTTCCTAGAGAAAAGAATTTCCTGGAATTTTCTTGGAAATTGCCTTTTGTTTTGGTTTTTGAGATTCATTTCTGAAACTTAAACTTCTTTATTAATTGAGAATACCAGAGAAGGGTTCCATGAAGATTCAATCGAGTTCCATTGAGTTGTATTTTAAGATCTAGATTTCTACTTTAATGCAAAAGAATAATAATTTTAAAACAAAATTAACATAAGAAAAAATAGAAGACAGAAATTAAAATAACAATAATTGGCTATGGTTTTCTCATACTATAATAAACAAGACTCTTGGTTACAAGTAATAGAAAACCAAGTCAGATTCAAATATAAGCTTTAAATTTATTTCTTCCTTCCAGATAACAACACCAGAGAAGGGCTACCTGTTCTTCACCTATTTGCCAATTATGGTCCTAGTTACCCTGCCTTTAGTCACACACCAATTTCAGGGGCTTATATCCTGAGGAGGATGGTGGGAGGTAGTATTCTGGTTGACCAACCTGATTACATTTCTACTTCTATAGAGGTAATGTCAGGCTACATGATTGATAGAGTCTATCAGAATTACATGGAGATGGGAAAGGTATTTCTTACAGAAGGATATTTTTTTAAAAAAAAACAAATAAGTTGCATATGAACCAAGTACTAATACACTTTATCCTGTCCTTTTTATTGATGACCAAAACTCACAAAAACAATATTGCACTGGATAGTGGGTGATGAAGGAGGTAAGATCTATGGCTGTAGGAGAGGGAAGGGGCAAAAGTGGACCTGTCAGAGTGAATGCCAGTGCTGCCCCAGCTCCTGCAGCCTTTACGCCTCCACACAGCACTTGCATTCATCCTAGCTTTCCCCAGAAATGCTACTCCCAGCTTTCATGTGACCACATCTTTGTTCTTTATACACTGCCACTTTGTTAGCTGGCCCTGCCATGCAAGCCTCACATCTTTGCTGAGGGCACTAATTGGGTAATGGCTCAATGACCTTCACATACCCAAAGAGAAGGTCCCACCCACTTTAGGCACAGGGGAGAGGAGGGCTGGAATCAAAGTTTAAAGGGAGGGATTGGCTTCCCTGAGCAAGAAAGCTGGGCCTGTGAAAGGGTGGGATGGTGGTGACAACATCCTGTGGCTGAAGGAGATGGACAGGAATGTGCCAAGACCAGTGAGTCAAGTTCAGAACTACAGAGTTTTGCTTACTCGCTTTTCCCCTGCTTCTTGCTGTCTACAGGTAAATTCTACTGTAAACCACACTACTGTTATCGACTCTCTGGCTATGCACAAAGGAAGAGGCCAGCTGTGGCTCCTCTGTCTGGAAAGGTAATGACAATCCTTCCTATAAGTGGTAGAAAAGCAGTGGGTGGCACACCAGTTTAATTGTGGATCAGGGTTGGGACAGATGGGCTTGCTGGATGGTCATTAGAACATTGCCTGTCCCATGAGGGCCCAAGACGTGGTGGTTGCATTCAATTTGGGGAGGGAAGCAGCCTTTCAGTCTGATGTTGTACTTTGCTAAGTAATGTCATATCCACCACCTGAGCTGAACTGAGGACTTATACTGATCCTCCCTTCTATTCACTCTGCCTTTGTAAATAAGACTCTTTTTGAAAGGAGGATGCCCTGCAGCTGAGGATGAAGTCCTATTCCTTTTTCACATAGTTAGAACTCTCATCAAGAGAGGCAGTAGTGAGAGAAGAGGCATCCTAAGGAAGAGTTTCTTCCATTTCTTTAGCTCCTGCCTTAGGGCATCTAAGAGCAAATGGGAGCCACAACAATCCCTGTTCTTCATGCCAGAAAGGAACTTGACTGCAACATGCTCTGCCTGCTAACTTCTTTAATATCCTTGTTCCGCAAGTTACTTGTCTAAGTTCACTCGTTCGTTCGTTCTTTCTTTCTTCCTTTCTTTCTTAGCATGGTCCCTCTGCTTTTCTTTGTCAAGGTGACCTGAGTAATCCCTCCACTGCATGGACAGCACCTTGTCAGTATGCAGGCTGATTACTGCTGCTTTGAGAGGCTTCTTTTGACTGCAGAGGGACTGGTGGGAAAAGGTATACAGTTGGCCCTCTGTGTCCACAGGTTTCACATCTGTGGATTTAACCAACCATGGATGGAAAATAAAAGGAAAAAGATTGCTTCTATACCAAACACAGACTTTTTTCTTGTACTAATCCCTAAACAGTACAGTGTAACAGCTGTTCCTATAGCATTTACATTGTATTAAGTATTATAAATCATCTAGAGATGATTTAAAGTACATGGGAGATTATGTAAGTTATGTGCAAATACAATGCCATTTTAAGGGACTTGATTATCCACAGATTTTGGTATCCGAGAGGGTCCTGGAACCAGTCCAGCACAACAATGGATGACTTGGGTGGTTAGAGACTTTGACTTCTAGTGACTTCTATGTGAATATGTCCTTGTTTCTTTAAAGAAAGACTGTGAGGTATATAAATCTTGGTTGACAAGAGATAGACAAACCAATCAGATTGTCATTACCTCCTGAGATTTGAGGGCTTCAGTCAGAGTCACTCTTCTTTTTCTTATGGACTCTCCCAGGAGGCCAGAGGACCCCTGCAGGATGGCCCCACTGCAGACACAAATGGACGGGCCAGTACCATCACCAGCTCGGCTGAGAGAACTCCAGGTAGCCTCACTTCCTTGTTTGGCTGGGTGGCGCGTCACTCTCTCGGCCTCTGTGACAAGGCCAAGGGGATGAGCCAGCACCTCCAAAAGAACATTTCTTCATTTGGGCATCAAGTGGCCCAAAACCCTTTGGACTCCTTTTTCATGTGCCAGCTACTTGCATTTGGAGTCCCCTTTCTGTATGGCCTGTCAGAGGTGCTGGTACAAATCGGAGGGGAGTTTCACTGGCAGGCTGTGAGCTACTAAGTGTGCCATGTGGTAAGCAGTATCATCCAAGTGTGGGTGATGTTTATTCGGAGTCTCAGTATGGACACAGTAGCCCATCCTACATCCCTCAGACAGATCAGGGTGCAGACCCTCTGAAGGTAAACTGGAGTCTAGAAGAAGCTGCTATGGTCAGCGACCCAGGTGAGAAGCCAAAGTTGCCAGACCTCCTCGTAGTTTTCATTCAGGACTCCTTTGACAGAGCGTCGAGTTGTGTAATTCAGCCCTGTGGGCTGAATTTGTGTTCACCAGAACTTGAAATTTTTACATCTCATTTCCTAGTTAGGCATCTGGATAAGCTATCACTATTCTCCTATTTGACCTGTAACCATTACAGGACATAAACTACCCTAAGAACTTTGGGGCTTTTGAGTTTGCAGTGAGGGTGAAAACCTGTCTGTCACACTTTCATTACTACTTCCTATGTCAGGACCTGAACAGCACCATTCTACCTCTAGAAACATTCTTGTTCTGGTCATCACAGAGTAGCACTGGGAGGACTCAGGGCACCCAGCCTGTGGAGTAGAATTATTTTGCTTTTTTCCTTAAAATTGCCCCTCTAAGCCCCTTGTAAAACAAGCCTGTGAGATATATCCACAGTTCTGCAAACTGCTAGGAAGTCCCGAGGCTCCAAATTGTGAACTTCCTCCCATTCACAGCAAATATATCTCAAGCAACCATTAACAAACTCATGAAAATTAAAAAGTTATTGGCCAATGCCAGAAATCATGGAGAAGGAATAGGTAGTAGAATTTTCATGATGAAAAAAGTTATTCTTTTGGCCTTTCGATGAAAGGTACCCAGAGTTGCTTTTTTCCCATGCTAAGAAACTATTATGAGCCTTGGGGTGCTCAGTCTGGGCAAGGGGGACATGCCCAGAGACTGGACACAAAGCCTTAGGGGCAGTTTTGAACTAAAAACAAGGCACACTCCTGCAAAACCAGCTCACTCGGCTCCTCCATGTATCTTCATCATATTCAGAAGATTATGTTAAGTGCTCTACAGGTAGGACCAACATTTGAAAGCCATGTTTAATCCAGAAAGGATTTTTAAGCCTTGTACAATCGTCAGACCCTTTGTGATCTTTCTCATGAAATATAACAGCACTGTGCAATTTATATGTTCTGAGCATGGGAGGTATTGCTGGCAGAGAAGAGTGATAGGGATCCAGATAACTGACTCTTCACTAGGATGTGCATTTAATCAGGTGGCAGCTCAACCTCATTAGTCTAGACCTTATTCCAGCAAAGATGGATTTTCAAAGGAACCCAACTACTCAGTAAAGCAACCCAAATTAAATCCCCACCCCCCTCTTGGGTAAGGTATACAAACATTTCTTATAAAGAATGATAAGGTTTAGGTCATTCCTGAACAGGTTGGGTTTGCCTGCTTTTCCATCTAGTTCTGGTTCCCTTTCTGACTAATTGAAGGCATAACAGATTTCAGATTTTTTAGAAATTCTAAAGAAGTAAGGGTTCCACAGAGGCGAGAATGTTCTACAAAACAAGGAAAGAAGATAAGAGTTGGCAGTGCAGTTAAAGAATCAAAACAATCAAAAAAGAATCAGAGCCTGAGAACATCTCAGGCCCCATGGTTCTTGATTCTGAGGTAGATCATGGGAGGTAACCTATTATGGCATAGGTGGAAGATGTTGTATCTGGAAGGTACCCCAGCCTGAACCCCTATGGTGAGGAAGTCAGGCACTGTCACCTCCCCCACTATTTAAAGTATTCTCTAGGCAAAAAGAAGGACAGAGAGCTTAGGGCTAATGGGTTTCCTTGATTTCTGCCTGTGGAGACTCAAGCTTTTGGAAGTTAGACCTCTGAGTCCAATATGCTCCAAAGCATAGTTGCTTTCCTTGTGAGCTAACTTGTGCTAGTCTCTGTAGAAAAGAATTATGGCTGGTATTTGTAGTTGCCATGAAGTAGATTTTTTTTCTCTTCTTTTATATATATTTCTTTCTTTAAATTCCAAACCAAAGCTTTGATTATTTAATAAGAATTTCTTTCAGAAAAGCTCAGGTGTTTCAGCATTCCAGAATGTGTATCATAGAGAACCTAGAACCTGAGTACACCTCCTCCACTGAACTCTAGATCAGAAAAGGCTGTGAGTCAATGAGGCTGATTCTGTTGTGTGACTAAGCCATCCTCCCTAGAACCACGTGCCCCCAAAACTTACAAATGGAAAAACTAGACTAACAGTCAGTCAGTCAGTATTTGACCCTGCCATGCTTTTGCTTTGTGCCTCCTCTCTATTGTGGCATTTCTGTCTTCTCACTTGTGTTCTTTCCCCTTGTGCCAAAATAACTGCTATTGCCAAAAAAAAAAAAAAAAGAATAAAACAAAATGCAATATAACCCATCAGTTAAAAGAATGCACTACAGGAATGCACTACACTAAGTGCTGTCTTTCTCTGGTACACTAATATGTAACTGCTAGTATAATTTAGTGTGTTGAGGACATCGTTTACAGTATTTTTATTTGTCATGTGTTTTAATATAGAAATTCTAGTTCTGTTTTCAAACCTATAAATGCTACTTTTTCAAGCTTCTTAGACTTACTGCTACAGATAGTGGACCTGGCACAGATTTTCTTACTCTGGCCTCATAGTACCTGCCCTGTCTTTAGAAAAATTTGGACAACAGCAGGCAAAGAAAGAAAAACCTCTAATGGGATTCTTTTCCCCTGGGACATGAGACCCTTGGTTGCAGTTGTTTTGGATTCTTTTTTTCTAGAGGAATTCCCTTTTTACCTTCTATCATGAATAACCAAAAATGAAGCTAGGGATTGTGTAGTAACAAAGGAAGAAAAGAAATGAACTTTTCTCCCAGAATTAATCATCTGAGAATACATGCAGTGCAGACAGCAGAGAACAGGTGTGAGAAGCATGCCAGTTGTCTGTCGATTTGTGAAGATTGTTTTAATAAAGAAGTTGCAAGGTTACTATTGGCAGTCTCCTGCTTTCTGTCCCCAGACACCTCTCGAGTGATAACCTTTGGATTCCATAGTTTAGATCCAGATGGGCCATTAAGAATTGCAGGCATTGGCAGAATAGCCAAGCAGTACAAAGAATTCATTCAATTCTGGGTTTCCTGCCTGGCAGAGGGAAGTTAGGAAATCTTCTTACTGTTTACCAAGTCCTCTTCTCTTAGGCATTTTTGGAAAACCAAGTAGAAAGAATTCTGTAATCTAGCCTTCTTCCTTAATCCTGTCAAAAGTCATAGTTGAGTTGATGGTAATTTATGAATGTTTTATATATATATATATATACATACATATCTACATACATATATATACATATATGTATATGTAAGGTTCCAATTCATATATGTGGATAAATATTTATTTATATATTGTACCCTAAATAATAATAGTGATAATGAAGCTATTCCTAAAGCTTTTTGTTCCTTGGTTCTGGAAAGGGAGCTTTTACACTGGAATCTTGCCTCTGGTTAGGATTTTGAGGAACCACAGCAGACCAAAAACAGCATACCATATGGAAGTGGAGATTTGGGAAACTGGGTACCTCAAAAAAATGAGCAGCATTACACACACACACCCATCTCATATAATTGATTCAGGAGCAACAAAGAACCAAATGCCCCACCTTCCCTCTATTTTACTTTCAGGCTTGTGTATTGGCTCCACTAGGTTAGTTATTTCCACTTTCTACTGCCTTTTGGAGTTTGCTGTGTGTCTGGCTGCTTCCTGCAAAACAGTGGAACATTCTTAGGTATTCCTAAAAGAGGCCCCCAGGTCCTTGCAGGGCTGGCCAATGAGTTAAGAGGTTTACTCCCCCTCCCCCATTCACTTGGGGTAGAGACAGCAAGCAGAATTCCCTTGGCAATGGTACAAAGAAGCCAGAGCAAGGGAGAGTTAGCTGTGCCAAGGAACATGTCACCTGTCCACTCTGACTTTCCCTAAACCCTTTATTTTTGCCCTTGTTTTTAATCTGTGCTGTTGTGAGTTTTGGGTGTGTTTCTTTGTGAGTTTTTTATTTAATTGTGTAACTTTGCTTTTGCCGTTACTGTGAAATCAAGGTGTTGTGCTTTTAAGTTTTTTTTTTTAAAAAAAAAACAAATGTTACGTTCTTATTTAAGAGAATAAATTCCAAACAATCTTCGGGTTTCTGAGTTTTTCTTTTCCTTCCCTTTTTCCTGATTGGAGGGTGGGGACGGATGATGTTCAGGCAGGTCTCCAGAATGAGCTCAAAAGCTACTGTGCAAAGGACTCTGGCTTCTGCCTGGGTCAGTGAGAGTGCAGGAGGCCTGTGTTGTCTAACATATGAACCACTAACCAAAGGGCTGTCTCTGCTCAGGAGGCTGGCATGGTACAAGATGTTTTGCTTTGCAGCAGATGTGAGTAAACAAGTACAAGAAAAGTGTCACCTGGGCCCACATGTCCCCTATTCACCAGCCACCATGAGAAACCCATGGGCCAAGCAAATGGAGGGCTAGAACTCCCACACAGAGCCTGAATCCACCATGGCATTCCTCCTCTGTTTCTAACTGTAGCAGGCCCCTGAGGGGAACCAGGACCAGTTAGATATCTTCCTCCACCTACCTTGAGGCTCTCACTAGGGGTATCCTCAAGTGTAGTGACTATGCTCCTAGTGATGCTGAAAGTTCCTGCTATTTCCTGCCAACTGTCATCTCTCACACACTATCTGCTCAGACCTGATTGCTGTTAGAATATCCAATTCTGTTTGGTTCCTCTTAAGCCTGGAAAGAGAAGAATC